CCTGCCTGGTGTTTTTACAAGAGTAGAATGTGTGCTTTTATTTAAAATGCATTTCTGGGTTATTTGTGGGGCATGGGAATTTGTTCATTCCCCCCAAAAAATATAGTCCGGCCCCCCACAAGGTCTGAGGGACAGTGGACCGGCCCCCTGCTGGAAAAGGTTGCTGACCCCTGACCTAATAGGTCCATAAAAGGTAAAGGTAAAGGTACCCCCTGACTGTTAGGTCCAGTCGCGGACGACTCTGGGGTTGCGGCGCTCATCTCACTTTACTGGCCGAGGGAGCCAGGTTACAGCTTCCGGGTCATGAGGCCAGCATGACTAAGCCGCTTCTGGCGAACCAGAGCAGTGCACAGAAACGCTGTTTACCTTCCCACCAGAGCGGTACCTATTTATCTACTTGCACTTTGACATGCTTTTGTACTGCTAGGTGGGCAGGAGCAGGGACTGAGCAACGGGAGCTCACCCTGTCGTGGGGATTCAAACTGCCGACCTTCTGAACGGCAAGCCCTAAGCTCTGTGGTTTAGACTACAGCGCCACCCGCGTCCATACACAACAGAAAACACTGTTGCTGGATGTAGGTTTTATTTTATTGGTTTTTTATCTTATATTTTGGAAATGTACATCCAGGTTTTTTTCCTTCAAGTTTTTTTTTGGGCCCCAATAGAGTGGGGCCCTAAACTATAGCTTGTTTAGCTTATATGTAAATACGGCACTGCTTGTATACTAGGGGCTGCCTGCACTGCTCACTCTGCTAAGCCTAGACTAACCAATCCAATAGCAGTCCAACCCCTCCGACAATCCAATATTGTGTCCTACATTTCTAAACCGAAGAATTGATGCTTTTGAATTACGGTGCTGGAGGAGACTCTTGAGAGTCCATGGACTGCAAGAAGATCAAACCTCTCCATTCTGAAGGAAATCAGCCCTGAGTGCTCACTGGAAGGACAGATCCTGAAGCTGAGGCTCCAATACTTTGGCCGCCTCATGAGAAGAGAAGACTTCCTGGAAAAGACCCTGATGCTGGGAAAGATGGAGGGCACATGGAGAAGGGGATGACAGAGGACGAGATGGTTGGACAGTGTTCTCGAAGCTACCAGCATGCGTCTGACCAAACTGCGGGAGGCAGTGGAAGACAGGAGTGCCTGGCGTGCTCTGGTCCATGGGGTCACGAAGAGTCGGACATGACTAAACGACTAAACAACAACAACATTTCTAAGCAATGAAAAGTTCTGGAGCAGCAATTCAGGGAGATGGGGTACCAGGGCTAGGAGGGCTTGTAAACATATGGTTGATCTGTCTGGGCGGAGATTAGGTACTCCACCCACAAGCCTCTCTTTTCATTCTTTGCTTGAATTCCTGGAAACCCGGAATTCCCCCTCATTCTCTAAACCGAAAGCAAAAGCATTTCCTCCACCCTCTAGAAATAATGTAATAGCTCAAGACATCATTTACCTCGAAAGAAACAGAGACGCAGCAATACCCAATTTTCAAAGCTGAACAGTCATCACCTGGACGTCCTCACTGAGCCTTGACGCCAAAAGGTAAGCAGAGCATCCTGATTTGTTTGGGTCTCTTACAAAAACAGCATTTGTGAAATGAAACAACTGACTTTGTGAATGAGATATCTACTTAATGGTGACTGGCAAATTTTGCAGACTGGCATTCTAGGACAGTTGCCTTCGAGGAAACGTCTCTGTCACAAAATGACAGTACACTACTCTACTTAATGAGGTCAAGGTGAACAAGTGAAATGTTGAGGGCTAGTAACTTGTGGGCTTATTTGCAAAGCTAGGGTAGGCCCTTCAGTATTTTCAGGATGGTGGCTAAGTTCTGATTTGTAACCAGAAATTCCTAGAGGTCTTTCCTAAAGCAAAGACACATAGAATTGTGCTGTTCCTCTGTAAGAAAAATGAATAATAACCTTTTGTTATCGTTTTATCTGTCTCCCAGATATGATGGGGGAAATCTATTCTGGGGCTCAGCCCTCATACATGTTTCTTGTACTATGTGCAAAGGGGTTTCTTGATCATGCCCATTTTGGACTTTCTGAGGATTGAAGAACCCTGAATTTAAAGGGCAAAAGGTCCAGGAGAACAATGGGGTGGGAAATATCTCATCTGAAGGCCCATATATTCATGGGGAGACAGGGTGATGCAAATCTACTCTAGACTGCAAATTCTGCTGTTGTGCAGGCAAGTCCTAAGTTCATAGTGTGGACACAGCCAGCCTCCAAAGCTGCTTTAGGCTGCAATTCTAAACCCACTTGCCTGAGAGTAAGCCCCACCAAATTCAACTAGACTTACAGTTGTACCTTGGTAGTCGAATGGCTTGGCTCCAAACAAATCAGCTCCCAAGCGCCGCAAAGCAGGAAGTGAGTGTTCCCGTTTGCAAACGTTTTTCGGAAGGCGAACGTCTGACGCGGCTTCCACATGAGTGCAGGAAGCTCCTGCAGCCAATCGGAAGCTGCGCCTTGGTTTTCGAATGGTTTTGGGAGGCGAACGGACTCCCGGGACGGATTAAGTTCGAGAACCAAGGTACCACTGTATTGAAAACATCATATCACTATTCAATTATATGAAAATGAAATGAAGTGGAATTATGAATGGTATATAACTTATACTTTTAGAAGATATCTGAAGGCAGCCCTGTTTAGGGAAGTTTTTAATGTTTGATGCTTTATTGTATTTTGTTGGAAGCCTCCCAGAGTGGTTGGGGAAACCCAGGCAGATGGGCGGGGTATAAGTAATAAATTATTATCATTATCATTATCATTATTATTAAGAAAATAGTATAGGAATTAATACCAAAAAATACAACACCCCATTCCCTGCAAAAAGAAGGATTCCCTAAAAAAAACCTGAGCACACGTCTTATATCAATCGGCAATGGGAACAGGAGATGGACCTTTCCATTAATTATACTGTTCACGTGGGCAGTTCCACATAAAACATAAACTATGAATTGCTGGAATCTACCTGGCAGGGGAGGAAATGTGCAATTGGGACTCCACGGAACTTTGGCACACCGCCGTGCTGTTTTGCCCAAACTTGTTCTGCTTTCACTTTTGCTTTGGCACCTTAAGTGCTGTTCCTGTTACTCTTATCGTAATGCCAAGGTCTCCAACGAAAGCAGAAATTGTGTGCACGAAAGTTGAAGCAACTTCTGTGGAACGTGGCATTGTGTCATCAGCCTTGATCCATCAAGGGTGTTCTATTGTGTGCATGAAACTTACCAGAACTGCTGGCTGCAATGGCTATCAGGGCTCCAAGTAAAAGCAGTGATTATTTATTTCGCCACTGAGGGAGGGTGGCACTCTGCACATGCTCAGGCACTCACTCGTTTATTATGGCTTGAAGATGAGAGGTAAGTGGAAAAGCCAGGCACAAAGGCAGCATACCTCTAACATAAGAACATAAAAAAAGCCTGCAGGATCAGGCCAATGGCCCAACTATTCAAGCATCCTGTTCTCACAGTAAGTGAGCAGATGTGTGTGGAAAACCGTAAGCAGGATTTGAGGACAAGTGCACTCTCCCTTCCTGTGGTTTTCAACCAGGAACCAAATGCAAAAAGTGGGATAGATGTCAGTACTTCCACCTCTCTGATCATGTGACACTCTTCCTTAAATCTCTACATTGGAAAGAAATTCCCACAGGGGGAAAAAAGCTATTGTTGGTCTCTAACATTTGCTGGTAGTTTGAACATCAAAGCCAGAGTTGCCATCCGATTGATGCGTGTTAAGGTCACTCTTTTAAAACAGCAAATACAGTGGTACCTCGGGTTACAGACGCTTCAGGTTTCAGACTCCGCTAACCCAGAAATAGTACCTCAGGTTAAGAACTTTGCTTCAGGATAAGAACAGAAATCGTGCTCCTGCGGTGCAGCGGCAGCAGGAGGCCCCCATTAGCTAAAGTGGTGCTTCAGGTTAAGAACAGTTTCAGGTTAAGAACAAACCTCCAGAACGAATTAAGTTCTTAACCCGAGGTACCACTGTAAGTACTAACTAGGAGGACGAACTTTCAGCCCCCTGCTTGAATATTCCAACCGGCCGGTCCTGCTCTCCTGCCTGCTTTACAGACGCAAGTGGGTTAGTCATATATGTCAGAAAGGAATTGCTTAGTACAGTTGTACCTTCGAATCTGTTCCAGAAGTCTATTCGACTTCCAAAACGTCCGGAAACCAAGGTGTGGCTTCCGATCGGCTACAGGAAGCTTCTGCAGCCAATCGGACGCCGCGGAAGCCACACTGGATGTTTGGCTTCCAAATAATGTTCGCAAACCGGAACACTCACTTCCACTTTTGCGGCGTTTGGGAGCCAAAATGTACGAGTGCCAAGGCGTTCGGCTTCCAAGGTATGACTGTACAGTGGTACCTCAGGTTAAGTACTTAATTCGTTCCAGAGGTCCGTACTTAACCTGAAACTGTTCTTAACCTGAAGCACCACTTTAGCTAATGGGGCCTCCTGCTGCCGCCGTGCTGCCAGAGCACGATTTCTGTTCTCATCCTGAAGCAAAGTTCTTAACTTGAAGCACTATTTCTGGGTTAGCAGAGTCTGTAACCTGAAGCGTATGTAACCTGAAGCGTATGTAACCCGAGGTACCACTGTAGTTCTTTGAAGGCGGCTCGGAATCTCCAACAGAGGCATCTGAGCATCCCTGACAAATTACAATTCCCACCATTCACTAAGATGAGGAAGGGGAACCAGAGCTTATTGGGCTGCAACTCCCACCATCCCTTTGCCAAGTTTGGTGGTCCTGATAGGAGTCCAGCAACCTCTGAAGGGCCCCAGGTTTCCCACCACTGCTATAAGGGCAGCTATGGCAGTCACACTGACATAAAAATAAAATATCAGGCATGGTCTATCTGTGGCCATACCGATGGTGTTGTCGTCCCATCAGTCTCTGCCAGCATGGCTAATGGTCAGGGATGGTGGGCGTTGCAATATATGTTTTAATGTACATATTGTCTCATCCCAAGAATAACCATTTTGTAGCCTTTCAAGATGAAAGGAGAACAAGGATCAACTCTGTCCCAGAAACAATCTGATGGGAAATCGGTAGTGATGGACTTGATGCAGTTTAAGGAACTGGATGCCCATGCACTGAAGGTATGCTATCTCTTATTGTGATATATACAGTGTGGAATTATAGTCCTGTAAGGAATCTGCTTAGGGACGCAGGTTGCGCTGTGGGTTAAACCACAGAGCCTAGGACTTGCCGATCAGAAGGTCGCCTGTTCGAATCCCTGCGACAGGGTGAGCTCCCGTTGCTTGGTCCCTGCTCCTGCTAACCTAGCAGTTCGAAAGCATGTCAAGTGCAAGTAGATAAATAGGTACTGCTCCGGCGGGAAGGTAAACAGCGTTTCCGTGCACTGCTCCGGTTCGCCAGAAGCGGCTTAGTCATGCTGGCACATGACCCGGAAGCTGTACGCTGGCCCCCTCAGCCAATAAAACGAGATGAGTGCCGCAACCCCAGAGTCGGCCACGACTGGACCTAATGGTCAGGGGTCCCTTTACCTTTACCTAAGGAATTTGCTTAAAGGGACGCGGGTGGTAAAGGGACGCGGGTGGCGCTGTGGGTTAAACCACAGAGCCTAGGACTTGTCGATCAGAAGGTCGGCGGTTCAAATCCCCGCGACGGGGTGAGCTCCCGTTGCTCAGTCCCTGTTCCTGCCAACCTAGCACGTCAAAGTGCAAGTAGATAAATAGGTACCACTCCGGTGGGAAGGTAAATGGCATTTCCGTGCGCTGCTCTGGTTTGCCAGAAGCGGATTAGTCATGCTGGCCACATGACCCGGAAGCTGTACGCTGGCTCCCTCGGCCAATAAAGCGAGATGAGCGCCGCAACCCCAGAGTCAGCCATGACTGGACCTAATGGTCACGGGTCCCTTTACCTTTACCTAAGGAATCTGCTAGAATGCTGAGGTTTTTTTTCATGTGGATTTGGAATTTGATAGTACAGTGGTACGTTGGTTCTTGAACGTAATCCATTCCGGAAGTCCATTCGACTTCCGAAACGTTCAAAAACCAAGGTGCTACTTCCAATTGGCGCAGGCGCCCTGGAAACGATAGTCGACAGCCACATCAGACATTCGGCTTCTGAAGAAAGTTTGCAAACCAAAGCATTTAACTTCTGGGTTTGCGGTGTTCGGGTTCTGATTTGTTCGTCAACTGAGCCATTCGAGAACCAAGGTTCCACTGTACCTTCAAGTGTGCTCTCCTGACAGGAGGCAGTGGGGAACATTGTGAGTCACAAAAGAACATGCTCCTGTCTTGCACATGTTCTAACACAATAGAGCACCTGTTTTCAGGTGTACACCTATGTACCCAAGAAAAAGGAAAGCTTAAGCATCTTTCAGAATACTTTTTACCCAGGGGCAAGTTTTTGTCAAATTCAAGACATTAATTGATCAATCAGCTAAAACACATACATTTGATTGACCAGCTGTGCGGTTTTACTCACTGTGTAGCCCCACTGAGTTCGGCAAGACTGACCCTCTTGTAAGTGCCTGTAAAAATGCACCCCACATTTTCTTTAAACAAGTGTCAGGCTTAGACAGAAAAAAGGAATTTGGTACTCCTTATTCATGTCAACAGCTCATGAATCTATTTTCCTTTTGTGAAACAGGTGAATTTCAAGGATAGTGTGGAAAACCTGGTGAGCGTCTTGCACGAGAAAGCCCACAGTGACCTGGAGAAAGTGCGAGCCATTTGGATGTGGATTTGCCATCATATTGGTAGGTGGGGGTGCCACCTTTTGCATGTTGGGGTCCCCTTGTCTCTAAACAGCTCCCAGAATTTAAAGATCAGCCTGTATCACAGTCAGGGCCGGATTTAGGTTTGATGAGGCCCTAAGCTACTGAAGGTAATGGGGCCCTTTATATGTCCAGCTGTCCTTTGTCAACAACAAATTGTTGCTGCTTTTTGTGTTGAATATATGCTATATGGCAATTTATGGACCTAGTAGGTATCTAAAGCCATTTGCACATAACAAAATATGTAATTTATCAAAGTAATTGTTGAACTGAAATACAATTAAGAAGAAGTATATTAATAGTGAAATACAATTAAGAAGAAGTATATTAATAGTGAAATAATTATTCAGCTCTAACTTAAAATGATTTTTTATTCATAACAAACTTAATAATGCAAACACATTGGCATTTGGCAATAACAAAAGTTCCTTTAGAAACACAATTTACAAAGACTTATAATCTAATAATTATAAATAGCAGAATGTAGGCACCCTATATATAGAAATGAGCAAACCAGTGATATTTTAGGGAGCAGGCTAGCAGGCGGGGCCCATTACTTACATCATAGGAGCCTACACAACACAAAGCACTGTGGCTGTATGTAGGTTTTATTTTATTTGTTTTTTATCTTATAATTTGGAAATATACATCCAATTGTGTTTTTCCTTTAAATTTTTTTGGGCCCCCCCAAGAGAGTGGGGTGCTAAGCTATACAGTGGTACCTCAGGTTACAGACGCTTCATGTTACAGACGCTTCAGGTTACAGACTCCGCTAACCCAGAAATAGTACATCGGGTTAAGAACTTTGCTTCAGGATGAGAACAGAAATCGTCTGCCGCTGGTGGCGCGGCGGCAGCAGCGGGAGGTTAAGAACAGTTTCAGGTTAAGAACAGACCTCCAGAATGAATTAAGTTCTTATCCTGAGGTACCACTGTAGCTTGTTTAGCTTATACATAAATCCAGCACTGATCACAGTCCTGCCCCCATGAATCCAGATCTCTAGCAGATATCCAGTAACACATTGGGCTTTGATGGCCAACCAAGGAAGATGCATCCAGACTTTCACTTGTCCTGCTGCTTTCCTGCAGGAAAACCCAATTTTTACTGCTGAATCAGAGCAAACACCCATCGGGTTTTCTGTGGATTGATGTTTGCTCTGATTCAGTGTTAAAGCATGGGCTTTCCCAGGGAAAATGGCGGGGGAAACAGAAAACCATTCAGATCCATGCTTCCTAGGTATGGGAAAGGACAAGCAGAAATGTGGAATGGAATACAGCGGTACCTCAGGTTACGTACTTAATTCGTTCTGGAGGTCCGTTCTTAACCTGAAACTGTTCTTAACCTGAAGCACCACTTTAGCTAATGGGGCCTCCTGCTGCCACTGCGCCACCAGAGCCCGATTTCTGTTCTTATCCTGAAGCACTATTTCTGGGTTAGCAGAGTGTGTAACCTGAAGCGTATGTAACCTGAGGTACCACTGTAGCCTTTTGTGTGAGGCTGTTGCAGCCCCTCATTCACTGTGCATTGCAGACTCAAAGGCGACATTTCACAAGTGTCTTTATTTCTCCAGAATATGATGTGGAAGGCTACCGTAACAGAGATAAGGCGAGTTATAAGCCAGCCGATGTCCTTCAGTCAGGAAAGGCTATTTGCAGTGGATATGCTCAACTCTTTGAAGAAATGTGCAGGTAAATCCTATTACCCCAGCCATCATGGGAAGAAGCTTTTACTTGGCAAGGATGATGGGAGATCTTAGAGTATGCTTCCTCAAACTCAGCCCTCCAGATGTTTTGAGACTATAATTCCCATCATCCCTGATCACTGGTCCTGCTAGCTAGGGACCTTGGGAGTTGTAGGCCAAAAACTTCTGGAGGGTCAAGATTGAGGATGCCTGATCTAGAGAACCACAGGTCCCTGCTCCCGCTATTTTATATTATGAATGTTGAAGTAAAAATGCATATGTACAGTTGTATCAAGTTGGAGTAGATTCATTGAATTCAATGGAGAATGACAAACTTGATTTTAATGGGTCTCTTCCACACATGACTTATTGGGATAATAATACTAATAAATACTAATATATATTACTAATATAATACTAATACTAATACTATTCCAGTCAAAAAAAGGAGTGAAAGCAACCACAATCCCTTGACTTCTTCTTCTTCTTCTTCTTCTTCTTCTTCGGCGATGGCTCGTAGTTGAGTAAGATTGTCTTCCATAAACATGGTTTTAACAATGAGACCATAAGTGACTGTGGAGGCCAATTCTGGATCCACACATCCTTCCACAATGGAGACATTGGTTTCCACGAGGCAGTTGATCACGGTGTGGATTTGCCAAGTGTGCCTTCCTCCTAGCACGTTTCTCCCTTGCGTCCTGAGTTCGAGTGTCTTCAAAGCCCATGACACCTTTGGTAAAGGCTGTCCTCCAACTGGAGCTCTCACAGGCCAGTGTTTCCCGGTTGTCGGTGTTTATACTACATTTTTTAAGATTTGCCTTGAGAGAGTCTTCAAACCTCTTTTGTTGACCACCGGCATTATGCTTTCAAACTATGGGGTTCCTGAGTGTCTTTCTTTATCCCTCAGAGTTGCAGGGATACAATGCAAATATTTGGCAGGCCGCTGCAGAAATGACGACTTTAAAGGGAAGAGCCGCCATGCCTGGAATGCTGTTTATCTTGATGGAAAGTGGCATCTTCTAGACTGCACTTGGGCAAGTGGTTATGTGGATGACTCCTATACCAAGTTCACCTTCAGGTATGTTGTTAGACAACAGAAGGCCCAGCCAAGAGTGTAGGACACAAGTATAGTTTGCTTCCTTTGCCTTCAGAGGTTGGTTTTTTCATCAATCATGTTTTAGAATGTTTTATTTGATGGCCAGGGGGCTGATGATAATAAGAATTAAGTCATTGGCATTGGAGTGTCTTGGGGGCAGCAAAATTAAGTAAACACCAACGATCTATTTATCTTTTTGAATGGTTCTGGAGTAATAATAATAATAATAATAAATTTTATTTATATCCCGCCCTCCCCAGCCAAAGCCAGGCTCAGGGCGGCTAACAACAAACAAATAATCAAACAATCAAATAATCCAACATTCTAAAACATTTCATTATAAAAATTAATTAAAATCAAATTAATGGCAACCGTTAAGCAAAGTTCTGTGCAGGTTGCCAGAGGAGGGAGTCAGGCTGGGCCCTGACCAAAGGCCTGGTGGAACAACTCTGTCTTGCAGGCCTTGCGGAAAGATGTCAGGTCCCGCAGGGCCCTAGTCTCTTGTGACAGAGCGTTCCACCAGATTGGAGCCGCAGCCGAGAAAGCCCTGGCTCTAGTTGAGGCCAGCCTAACCTCTCTGAGGCCTGGGACCTTCAGGATGTTTTTATTTGCAGACCGTAGGTTCCTCTGTGGGGCATACCAGGAGAGGCGGTCCCGTAGGTACGAGGGTCCTAGGCCGTATAGGGCTTTAAAGGTTAAAACCAGCACCTTAAACCTGATCCTGTACTCCACCGGGAGCCAGTGCAGCTGGTATAGTACCGGATGAATGTGATCTCGCAGCGAAGACCCCATAAGGAGTCTCGCTGCGGCATTCTGCACCCGCTGGAGTTTCTGGGTCAGTCTCAAGGGCAGCCCCACGTAGAGCGAGTTACAATAATCCAGTCTGGAGGTGACCGTCGCGTGGATCACAGTGGCTAGGTCAGGGCGAGAGAGATAAGGGGCCAACTGCTTAGCTTGGCGGAGATGAAAAATGCCGCCTTTGTTATAGCTGTAATCTGCGCCTCCATAGAGAGGGAGGTATCGAAGATTACACCCAAACTCTTAACGGACGGTGCTGGCACTAATTGCACCCCGCAAGAGATGGGAGTTGCCCCCAATCCCATATCGTCCCGTCCCAGCCAGAGGACCTCTGTCTTCGAAGGATTTAACTTCAACCGGCTTCCACGTAACCATCCAGCCACAGCTTCCAAACATCTGGTCAGTGTGTCTGGGGCCGAGTCAGGATGGCCATCCATCAACAGATAGAGTTGGGTGTCATCGGCATACTGATGGCAACCCAGCCCAAAACTCCGGAGAAGCTGGGCGAGGGGGGCGCATAAAGATGTTAAAGAGCATCGGGGAGAGTATCGCACCCTGAGGCACTCCACACACCAAGGAGTGGCGGGATGACAATTCCCCCCCAAGCGCCACCCTCTGTCCCCGACCGGAGAGAAACGAGCGCAGCCATTGAAGGACTGTGCCCTGGATCCCCACGTCGGCAATACCGACGTAGTCATACCTCGGGTTGAAGTAGCTTCGGGATGAATATTTTCGGGTTGCGCTCCGCGGTGACCCGGAAGTAACGGAGCGCGTTTCTTCCGGGTTTCACCGCTCACGCAGACGCTCAAAATGATGTCACGCACATGCATGGAAGCAGGTTGCGTTCACTTCTGGATGTGAACAGGGCTCCGGAACGGATCCTGTTCACAGCCAGAGGTACCACTGTAAAATGCTTATCCTAGGCTACAGATGTGTTAAAAAAAAAAAAAAGGTAAAGGACCCTGGATGGTTAAGTCCAGTCAAAGGCAACTACAGTGGTACCTCGCAAGACGAATGCCTTGCAAGACGAAAAACGCGCAAGCCGAAAGAATTTTTGGTTTTTTGAGTTGCGTCACAAGACGAATTTCCCAATGGGCTTGCTTCGCAAGATGAAACCGTCTTGCAAGTTTGTTTCCTTTTTCTTAAAACAGTTGCGACTTACTTCTCGGAGCAACTCGTGCTTCGCAAGACGAAAAAAATCGCAAGACGAAAAAACTCGCAGAACGAATTAATTTCGTCTTGCGAGGCACCACTGTATGGGGTTGCAGCACTCATCTCGCTTTCAGGCTGAGGGAACCAGCGTTTGTCCACAGACAGCTTTCCGGGTAATGTGGCCAGCAGGACTAAACCACTTCTGGCACATTGGGACACCGTGATGGAAACCAGAGTGCATGGAAATGCTGTTTACCTTCCTACCTATTTATCTACTTGCACTGGTGTGCTTTCGAACTGCTAGGCTGGCAGGAGGTGGGACAGAACAATGGGAGCTCACCCCATCACAAAGATTCGAGCCGGCGACCTTCTGATCGGCAAGCCCAAGAGGCTCAGTGGTTTAGACCACAGCGCCACCTGTGTCGGACTAGGAAATCCTGTTGGCTGAGTCATTGTAACACAGCAGCCCTCCTTAACCCAGCGCCCTCCAGCGCTTTTGGACTACGTGCTAGATGGGATTTTTCCCAGGTGGATTTGGAATTTGATAGTAACCCTACCATGCTAGGTGACGTTCAGCAACACCTGGAGGGAACTGATAAGCCATGGTTTGAAGATGGCTTGTCAAGCAATCCCTAGTTAACATTAAACACCATTTGTCAGATTTAGGTGAGACAACAAGCTGTGGTTAGAAGCTAGCTTCCAAGTTTTTACAGCTGTGGGGGGGAACAAGGGTGTAGGGACAAGAAGGGTGAATGGGCCAAGTTAGTACAAGACCTGCTAGCCTCAGAAAACAACAACCCTGACAACATATATTTTTGTATTCCCTGGAGTTAAAAGACTGCTCAGGGATTGGATTTATAAACAGGAAAACGAGCAAGACTTATCTTTAATCCATATCTCAAAATTATGCTATTGGTACTATTTGCTGAAATCTCACCACACCAGAGCTCAATACATCACTCTACATGGGGCTGCCCTTGAGACTGACCCAGAAACTCCAGCGGGTGCAGAATGCCGCGGCGAGACTCCTTACGGGGTCTTCGCTGCGGGATCACATTCATCCGGTGCTATACCAGCTGCACTGGCTCCCGGTGGAGTACAGGATCAGGTTTAAGGGGCTGGTTTTAACCTTTAAAGCCCTATATGGCCTAGGACCCTCGTATCTAAAGGGCCACCTCTTCTGGTATGCCCCACGGAGGACTTTATGGTCTGCTGACAACAACACCTTGAAGATCCCGGGCCCCAGGGAAATTAGATTGGCCTTGACTAGAGCCAGGGCCTTTTCGGCCGTGGCCCCAGCCTGGTGGAATGCTCTCCCACAAGAGACCAGGGCCCTGCGGGATTTGACATCTTTCTGCAGGGCCTGCAAGACGGAGCTGTTCCGCCAGGCCTTTGGGCAGGATGCAGTTTGACTTACTTTCTTTTGTATAAAACAAGCCCGAAGGAGGACCCAACCTGCTCACAGGTCCTTGTATGATCAGTGGAAACAGTTGGTCCTGGCAATTATTAACCACTCTCAATTCCACCCTGATAATTGCCACCTGCCCAGATTTTGACTTGTCTGAATTAATTTTAAGAAGTCTTTTAATTAATTGATGTCTGTTTTTATGCTTATTGTGTTGGTTTTATGGTGTTAGCCGCTCTGAGCCCGGCCTCGGCCAGGATACAAATAAAATTAATTATTAATTATTATTATTATTATCATTATACTTGCAGTCACTTAACTTCCTCCCTGTGAACTGCATTTACATCTCTCCATTTTCAAACAAGGCCTACATCAGTCTTAGATTGGAAGATATAGAAATGTTCCAAGGCATTTAATATTTTGCATTTGCGGGGTAGGCGAGGTAGAAGATCTCCCCTATTATATACTTCATTGTCAGCTCTGTCAAAACCCCAGAAAGAGATTTTTGGAACAGATGCTAACACAGCTACAGGGACAGAACCCTGAAGTGAAAATGTGTTGGCGATTATTGGACTGTGATCTGCTTGTCACATACAAAACAGCCCTAATTGCTATAGCCACTAAGAGTATTTGTGTTAGCTACACCAAAGACAACGCTGTAGACTGTGCAGGTGATTCATTCATTTGATTTTTTTGTACATGGATGTATATCTCTGGATTTATTTTAACGAGTTTTAATTGACTCGCTGGATCTGTAATTGAATGTGTAAGGGCTTTTAAAGGTAAAGGGTAAAGGGACCCCTGACCATTAGGTCCAGTCATGACCAACTCTGGGGTTGCGGCGCTTATCTTGCTTTATTGGCCGAGGGAGCTGGTGTACAGCTTCCGGGTCATGTGGCCAGCATGACTAAGCCGCGAACCAGAGCAGCACACGGAAACGCTGTTTACCTTCCCAACGGAACGGTACCTATTTATCTACTTGCACTTTGACGTGCTTTCGAACTGCTAGGTTGGCAGGAGCAGGGACCGAGCAACGGGAGCTCACCCCGTCGCGGGGATTCGAACTGACGACCTTCTGATTGGCAAGTCCTAGGCTCTGTGGTTTAACCCACAGTGCCACCCGCATCCCATGTAAGGGCTTTTAGTCAAACACAATAAATGACTGATTGATGAACAACGGTAGGGTGTGTGTGAAGCTGACGCTTGCTATGGCTCATTCTCAACATGCTAAACTATGATTTTGCTTGACTGGCCCTAGAATTATTCCAGCTTCATCCTTAGATAGCTTTGCCTTTTTGACCCTGATGCTGATTTAGGAAATGTTTTGAAATACGGCACTATTCCACCTTCTCCTTTTGCAGCTATAAGGAGTTTTACTTCCTCACCAGTCCTGCTCTGTTTAGGAAGGATCACTTCCCTGATGAGGATGAGTGGCAGCTGCTGAAGCAGAAACTGACACCTGAAGCAGCTTGAATATAATACACCTAGTATGTAATTTGATGTCCTTCAAAAACACTTCTCTCTAATGTATTGATTCATGATTACTCAATTTGTGTTAGTAGCAGAAAGAATGCTGAACTCACTCTCTGATTATCCCAGGGTTCCTCAACCTCGGCCCTCCAGATGTTTTTGGCCTACAACTCCCATGATCCCTAGCTAGCAGGACCAGTGGTCAGGGATGCTGGGAATTGTAGTTTCAAAACATCTGAAGGGCGGAGGTTGAGGAAGCCTGAGTTTTCCTTTATGAATAGATTTTTATTTTTAAGTCAGCTATGTATTTCCTTTTCCACTGCATCAGCAAATCATACTATGTACAATCATTGTTCTCTTTGTATGAAGTTGGTGTGATCTATATGCTAAAGTAATAGTTTTGTAATGTCGCTAAACATTACAAAACTATTCAGCAAATAATAATTGCTGTTGTGCAAGAAACCGATTTCTGCAGTTATTGCTATACCATCTAACTGTAATCGTGAGTGATGCTTTTCAAATAAAGTTTCTCAAGCCAAAAGCGAGAATGTCACGTTTAAATGTATGTTGTATTTTTTAAACATAGTTTTAGTAAGTTGGCAACCCAAATAAAGCAGACGCACGAGGGCCAACTTGTGTTTTTGGCAATCTAGTAAGGTAAAGCCAGGGAAGTAATTATGGCAGTCCTAAAAAGAGGTTTAAATGACACACATGACAACACATTTATGCTAGGTAAGTTGCACATTGTGGTGTTATATTGATCAAAAGAAACACTGCATGTAAAACACATTTCAAGTAGCATCTCATCACATTTCTAAGAACCTCAAAGAAGAGAATAAAGTTAAAACATATGCCTTTTTCTTTTCATTTGTTGAGTGTGTGTTTGTATTCGTGAAAAGCATAATATGCTAAACTCTCATGAGTTTTATTGTCGTAAGCTCATCTGATTTTGTTCCTCACGTTACTCACATGCAGGGCACCAAACCCAGAAATAGCCCTAAAACGTCACAAAAAGGAGTGAAAAAGGCTTACATGTATTGTGGGAAAGAAGGGTGACAGACACAGATCTTTTAAGCAATAGCTCTTTATTACAGCAGTTAGCACTGCTCTAAGTCTCTCTGAACAACAGGGAAGCTGGTTGCCTTATATAATGCTCAATATCTTGTAACAGTAACGAATTCCAACTAATCAGTGAAAGCAACTCTCAGTCCTTCATTTGCATACTGGTGGCCCAGAATGAGAACTGCAGCAAGTCTGAATACATAACACATGTGGTCCGCCGACCTGCACAGAGGTCCGGAACTAAACCCTTACGCAAAATGAGGATTGCCTGTACCATACTCTGGACTTCTAAGCCAGTGGTTCCCAAATTTCCTGGGGCTGCTGCCTACTTGGTTCCATAGACTCATCCTCAGTGCTTCCTACAGTCCTACTCTATAGAAAAGCATTACAGTGGAACCTCGGTTGTTGAATATTTCAGAAGCCAAACAATTCACAACGCGAATGCCGACAACCCGGAAGCAATTGCTTCCATTTTTGAACGTGCCTCGGAAGTCGAATGGAAGTCCATTTTTAAAAAAGAATTTGCCAACCAGCAATTGATCCTCGGTTATCAAACGTTTCGGAAGTCGAACAGTCTTCTGGAACGGATTATGTTCCACAACCGAGGTTCCACTGTACCTTGGAAGTCGAACGGAGTCCGTTCCAGAAGTCCATTCGACTTCTGAAACGTTTGGAAACCAAAGCGCAGCTTCTGATTGGCCTCAGGAAGCTCCTGCAGCCAATCAGAAGCCATGGAAGCCCCGTTTGGCTTCCAAAAGAACATTCAACTCCCAAGGTGTTCGGAAGCAGAGGTACGACGGTATTCAGAATAGTGGTTTGCATGACTGACTAAGGAAGATAACAACGCAATAAAATTCAAAACAGCAACAATCAATTGCACATTTATTCCAAATCCAGTTAAAACTATTTACCGTAGTTCAATTAATTCAGTAAAATCGATGAACTTAATGAAGTGATACCAGCTTTTCAAATTCTGATAGTTATACCCCCAGTGCCCCTGCTGTTCTCTTGCCTCCTAGCACCCTCTGGTTAGTCCCACAGCCTGCGCCCACTCTGGGAACCACTGTCCTAAGCAGTGAAAAATTATGGGGCGACAATACTGAAAGAAAGTGAATGGCTAGGGCTAGTGTGTTGTTGGTTTTTTTAAATGTTTAGGGGAAATGATTCCTACGCATATTGAAATACTGTCCTTCAATGAGGCCAAACGTAGATTCACAAAATGTTTAGGGTTGTGCATATGGCCCTCGCGTTCCCCCCAGAAAAAAGCACTGGGTAGGACAATATGCAGGCCACATCTGGGTGATCTATCCTCCTGACTGAGCTCCAGCCATGTTCCTCCCTCACTCCTCCCCTTTGGGACTTTATTCCTTGATTACACAAATGTAGAGTTCCCCGTTACTCTCGAAATTCACACTTCTATGCCGTTGTGATGGTGACACACCTTGGCTGTATAAATATCTTTTCCCTAAGCAACCTCTATAAATAAGATGATTGCTTGCATTTGCATTGTTAGAGAGAGACAAAGTTCAGCCTTTCTCCAACAAGGAAATGAAACAACTTACCTGATTCTCCAAGGTGCGCTGAGAAACAAACAGTCTTTCCTGCAGGTGTAACTTTTTCTCCAAAGGAGAGGACTCATTACCTGGACGTCCCTGCTGAGCATCTATGCCGAAAAGGTAACCAGAGCGTCTTGATTTGTTTGGGCCTCTTACAAAAGCAGGGTTTGTGAAATGAAGCAACGGACTGGTCCATGGAGTGTCTATTTACCAGGAACTAGTAAGCCTGGCAGACCGGAATCCTAGGAGAGTTAGCAAGCAGAAACTCATTCCAGGCCCAGCCCCTGGAGGGAACTTTTCAGGTCACAGAATAACAGTTCAGTGAATTCTCCAGAGTGTTTCTCTCCAGTTTTATACAAATGAACGGTGAGGGATGGATGGGAATGGCAAGAAAAGCAGGTAAGGGCAGTGGTGAGTTTATGCTCTCGGGCCCTTTTGGCAGGCCCTATTCATTCACCTTAATAAACCTGACTGTGTCTGAAAATACAATGGATTTAAAAGCTGAATTAATATATCACATAGGTTATCTTTTTTCCTATTACAGTACTTTCTGCTTCTACTGCAAGAAATACAGATAGATAGATAGATAGATAGATAGACAGACAGATAGATACAGGTGAAACTTGAAAAATTCGAATATTGTGGAAAAGTTCATTTATTTCAGTAATTCAACTTAAAAGGTGAAACTAATATATGAGATAGACTCATGACATGCAAAGCGAGATATGTCAGGCCTTTATTTGTTATAATTGTGATTCCACGATATTCTAATTTTTCGAGTTTCACCTGTATAGATAGGTGTGTGTGTGTGTGTGTGTGTGTGTGTGAGAGAGAGAGAGAGAGAGAGATTTTTTTCTTGGGGGACAGAGGGGGATGCATACCCCTAAACATTTTGTGAATCTAAGTTTGGCCTCATTTTACCCCTAAACATTTTTAAAGAAAAAAAAGCACTGAATAGATAGATGATAGATATAGATAGATAGGTGATAGATGATAGATGATAGATGATAGATAGAAAACAAGGACATGGGTACCTAAAGGAGGTCAGTGTGAGCAAGTGAAATGCTGGGGACTAGTAACTTGTGGCAGAGGCAGATCTATGTCAGTGCAGCCAGTTCTGCCACACTGGGCATCAAGCCAAGGGGGACACTGCAGGGTGTTGCAACTATGATGTAGTGAATTGAGCAGAGCGAAAGGTGAGGCAGGAAGCAGCTGGATTTTGACCTTGCACAGAGCGCCACTGAAATTTGAAAGATCAAACTTCCCTCCCACCTCACTTGTGGGCTGATTTGCAAAGCTACAATAGGCCCCACTGCATTTTCAGGACAGTGGCCTTTTATTTTTAACCTATAACCACAATAATCAAGAATTATTGTTCCCGTTGCTAGAACTGAGCTGAGGGGGTCTCCTTGTACCTCTTTCCTAAAGCAAAGACGTGAAGGATCTCTCTCCCTGAAATAAACATCAGAGGCCCTTCTTTGTGTGCCACGAGAGGGCCAAAAGGTGGCAACACAAGACTGGGCCTTCTCTGCAGTGGCTCCCTGTTTGTGGAATGCTTGGCTGGCACCTTCATCATACACCTTTAGGCACCAGGCAAAAACATTCCTCTTCAACCAGCCCTTTGGCTGATTATACCCCCTTTAATTGTGTTTGTGGGAGGGGGTGGGGTGGGGTGATTGGTTTGTGGGGGGTTTTATTCTTGTTTTTATCATGTATTTTGTTTTTGTTTTTTGTATTGTATTTTTATGTTGTGAACTGGCCTGAGATCTATGGATGAAGGGTGGTACACAAATTTAATAATAATAATAATAATAATAATACAGTGGTACCTCAGGTTACATACGCTTCAGGTTACATACGCTTTAGGTTACACACTCAGCTAACCCAGAAATAGTGCTTCAGGATGAGAACAGAAATCGTGCTCCGGCAGCGCGGCAGCAGCAGGAGGCCCCATTAGCTAAAGTGGTGCTTCAGGTTAAGAACAGTTTCAGGTTAAGTACGGACCTCCAGAACAAATTAAGTACTTAACCCGAGGTACCACTATAATGAAGCTGAGGCTCCAATACTTTGGCCACCTCATGAGAAGAGAAGACTCTCTGGAAAAGACCCTGATGTTGGGAAAGATGGAGGGCACAAGGAGAAGGGGACGACAGAGGACGAGATGGTGGGACAGTGTTCTCGAAGCTACCAGCATGAGTTTGACCAAACTGTGGGAGGCAGTAGAAGACAGGAGTGCCTGGCGTGCTCTGGTCCATGGGGTCACGAAGAGTCGGACACGACTAAACGACTAAACAACAACAACCACTATAATAATAATAATGCGGTACCTTTATAAGAAAAAGAAACAATAAGTTTTGGTTTTGGTTCTGTGTGTCTCCTGATATGATGGGGAAACTCTCTTATCAGGCTCATCCCCCCCATGTGTTCCGGGTGCCAATCTTCCTGCCTGACAGGGCTCACTCAGTGCAGGTCTGCCTTTCCTAGGGAACACAGCAGAATCAGAGGAACCTTTCTGGCTTGAGGCTGGACAGCTGCAGACCAGACAGGGTGGGAATCGCGAGTCATATCTGCTTTGCATAGGGAGGGGGTCCCCAAAGTGACCTAGTCTCCTCGCAGGGAGAAAACTTGCACGCGCTAGGGAAAAGGTTCTGTGTGCTATCTGTTGTAATGATCAGCCTACAGGACATTGTGTTTGCATGTGAGCCCTGGCCAGCAGTGAAATGTAGGTGGGCTCCCACGAGGCAAGACACAGTGATAACAGCAAGAACCTTTCTTGAACTACGTAACTGGGAAACAGAGGCAAAGCAACTACTTACAGTGGTGCCTCGCAAGACGAAAAGAATCCGTTCCGCGAGTCTCTTCGTCTTGCGGGTTTTTTCGTCTTGCGAAGCAAGCCCATTAGTGGTTTAGCAGATTAGTGCTACAGTATTAGCGGCTTAGCGGGCTTAGTGGATCAGCTGATAAGCGGCTTAACGATAAGCTGATAAGCGGCTTAACGATCAGCTGATAAGCGGCTTAACGATCAGCTGATAAGCGGCTTAGCATCAGCTGTTAAGCGGCTTAGCCATCAGCTGATAAGCGGTTTAGCGGCTTGGGAAAAGGGGTGTGGTAAGGAAAATATCCCGCAGGAACTCGCAAGACATTTTCGTCTTGCGAAGCAAGCACATAGGAAATTCGTTTTGCGAAGCACCTCCAAAACGGAAAGCCCTTTCGTCTAGCGGGTTTTCCGTCTTGCGAGGCATTCGTCTTGCGGGGCACCACTGTATATACATTTTTGAAGGCTTGTGCCACTCCCATTCCCAACGTGATTGGCTGTCTACATTTCCAAACTGCGAATCGTGACTCTAGAGTCCAAGGGCCAATGGCAGAGGCCCAAATCCTGAAATGTTCTGTGATTGGACAACATGTATTGAATCAGAACACAAGAGCTCAGAATCCTTAGTCCAGACTCAAGCTGAGGCAAGCACAGACCACTGAATACATAACAAGCAGGCTGAGGCGAAATGGGGGAAACCAGGCATAGGGCCCCTTAGTTGCATGGGGCAATACCTCTGTGAGTGCCAGGCATACTTATAAACCAGCTCAATGCAAGATCTGGAAGGCTGGGTGCAACTACAGCATCCTTGGCAAATTGTGCTTCAACTTCTGCTTAGCTCAGTACTTCCCAAGTCCATCTGTTCCACTGTCAAACAGCTACAGTGGTACCTCAAACTTAATCCGTTCTGGAAGTCCATTCCAAAACCAAAGCGTTCCAAAAGCAAGGTGCGCTTTCCCATAGAAAGTAATGCAAAATGGATTAATCTGTTCCAGACTTTTAAAAACAACCCCTAAAACAGCAATTTAACATGAATGTTACTATCTAACGAGATCACTGATCCATAAAATGAAAACAATAATCAATGTACTGTACTATACAATAAATAAGACAGTATTGTAGATGATAAAAATTGAATTCAATTATTTTTCTTACCTGCACTGATGATAGTCATTGTTTGGATGGGAGGGCTTTTATCCATTTCCAGTCACACAATCAATCAATCAATCAATCAGTAGCTGAACTGGGTTCTACACAGTCACAAAAACAAATTAACCGAAAAAGCCTCAAAAACAAAAACACAAAATAGCAAAAACAAAAGTGCCAAACTTAATCCGTTCCGGAAGCCTGTTTGACTTTCGAAATGTTTGAAAACCGAGGCGCAGCTTCTGATTGGTGCAGGCGCCCTGGAAACAATAGCTGATAACCACATCTGACGTTCGGCTTCCGAAAAACGTTTGAAAACCGGAACACTTACTTCCAAGGTTTTGGCGTTTGAGAACCAAGGCATTTGAGAACCAAGGTACCACTGTATTACCATTAGGACACTTCTCCTGATGCTTAGCCGAAACCTGTTTCCCTGCCATTTCCACTCATTACATAATTTTGGCATGAAATCTGCATGGCAGCCCTTCAGATGTCATTTGAAGAGAACAAGCATGTCTGTCTGTCCGTCTGTATTCCACCTGTCTAATATCTGTATTCCGCCAGTCTAATATCATGAGGTCTGCAGTGCCAGGATGTCAACTGTCAATTTGTAAATATTTTGGTAAAGAAATAGATTTCACTGCCATTTCTTTCAGCTGAACATCCAAGGAAAGAATGGCCTTTCATGATGGTTTATCTCGCACTCAGCAGATCCTGCTGGCAATCTTCTGCTTCCCGCTGCTGCCCTTCTATCTCTGCTACTTGTGTAAGTAGGGAAGTGTAACTTGAGCGTTAATAACCCACGTGCATGGGAGGAAGCCTTACACATCTTACTCCATACCTCAGTGAACTCAGTGAGAATTACTTCTGAACGTGTAGAGTTGCACAACAAAACAGGTCCTGCTCTGAGGAAGTGGCTGTCTAAAGGGCAGCCAAGAGGAAATGGAGATTTAATTCAAGAATTCCGCCTTTAGTTCTATGAGCCCGCTCACCTGTGAGTAAAATGCATAGTAGCTGGTGACTGGTTTTAACATTTTATATGGTCTTCATTGTATGGATTTACGTGTAATTGTTGTAAACACTCTGATAATTTTTACGAATAGTGGTGTCTATATATATTTCTATAAATAAAATTTCCTCCAAATGCTCCCTTTATTCCCAGCCTGCTCCACCTGCCTTTCCCCAATTCCTTTTCCTTCCCTTCTGCCCATCACCAGAGAACTAAAATTCCCACATTGTTTTCTCAGAGCAACCTCACCCTGTCTCTGCCTTGGAAAACAGCCGATGAAAACAGAGTGACGTTGTTCTTACAACCTTATCATTTAGCAAGATAATATATATTTGTTATAGACATACAGACAGACATTTAAGCCTATATATTTATATAATTTGTGCTTAGGTTGTGTGTCGGTTTCCAGACTTGCAACACACCTTTTGCCTCAGAATCACTCCTCGTAAAACCGCTGCCAAATTATGCAAGAATAACCAAAGCAAGGGACTCGTGCTGCTTCTATGCCAGTCCTTTGTTCTGGAATTGCTTCCTTTCACTCACTCCAATCCAGATAACATCATTTCCAACCCTCCTCTGGGAGAGAATTAGGACAGAAGGAGAAGGTAGACCTGAAGAAGAGAGCTATTGACCGTCAGGCATGTTTCCTATGTGTCTTTTTGTAATAATGATATTTCTGTAGGCTTTGCAACAAGTGAAGAGGATAAAGGGCAGCCTGACTCCCTTGGTGAGTGAATATCAAAATCCTATTCTGTTTATTTCTTGTCATACTTTGGATCAGTGTAAACACTGCTGCTGGGAGAACCACTTGCATCTTTGGGCCTTCATTTCTATTCACCGATTGTTAACCAAATTTGATGTAAGATGTTCATAGACTAACATGGGTAACAGCCTGCGGTCTAACTTGTACAGTGGTACCTCGGTTTTGAATTATGCTTTTGAATTATGCTTTTGAATTATGGTGCTGGAGGAGACTCTTGAGAGTCCCATGGACTGCAAGAAGATCAAACCTATCCGTTCTGAAGGAAATCAGCCCTGAGTGCTCACTGAAAGGACAGATCCTGAAGCTGAGGCTCCAATACTTTGGCCATGTCATGAGAAGAGAAGACTCCCTGGAAAAGACCCTGATGCTGGGAAAGATGGAGGGCACAAGGAGAAGGGGACGACAGAGGACGAGATGGTTAGACAGTGTTCTCGAAGCTACCAACATGAGTTTGACCAAACTGCGGGAGGCAGTGGAAGGCAGGAGTGCCTGGCGTGCTCTGGTCCATGGGGTCACGAAGAGTCGGCCATGACTAAACAACTTAACAACAACAGCAACCTCGGTTTTTGAACATAATCCGTTCCGGAAGACCGTTCGAGTTCTGAAACATTCTAAAACCGAAAACTCAACAGTCGACAGCTAGACCTCAGGATCTTGCACCCAGCGGAAGCCGAGTGGTGTGTTTGACTTCCGAGGCATGTTCAAAAACTTAAGCATTTACGTCTGGGTTTACGGCATTTGTAAACCGAATGTTTACAAAATCACAGCGCGATGCCAACCGACGCTGGCACACTTAGGGATCCGCAGAGTTTGCGCAGTTGCGTAACAGACCTCAGCAACTCGGCATTTTGGCTAATCTACTTTATTTACATATAAACACACACGGAGCACTGCAACATGGCTCCCTCTCTCTCTAGCATCGGACAGCAAAGAGAAAAAGAACAAAGGACAATAGTCCCACTTCACAGAACACAATAACACAAACATCCTGTCTCCATCACTTCCCACTCTGTGGAGTCAAAACATATACCGTCATGTGAAAGACAAAAATCCCATGACCGCAATCATGGAGCAGGAATTCTAACAATTTCCCCAACAAAAGCTTCCTTTTTCCCCTGCCCCCCCCCCGCACACATGTGAGAAAGACAGGCACAATACAAGCCAGAGCAGTAATGATGAATTGTATTTTTCCAACAGATCAAGTAGAAGAAGGGGCGGTGCAGCAATCAAACAGACAGCGCAGATTAGCTGGTGAGAGAAATGGATCAATTTAGTTGGCCATGATGCCACACTTAGTTCCTTGTTATGTCTGTGCATGTGTAATGGCCTAGATCTTGCTGGAGAGTTTTTCTCCTCGTGCACTGCGTCACAATACAGGAGAGTCACCGAGAAAGATGTGGTTGCCCAAACCCACATTCCCAGCATGTTCGCACTCCTGTCTCAGCAACGTCTATGCTGCCTTGGTCATGTCCACAATCAGGGACGCGGGTGGCGCTGTGGTCTAAACCACCGAGCCTCTTGGGCTTGCTGATTGAAAGGTTGGCGGTTCGAATCCCCGCGACGGGGTGAGTTCCTGTTGCTCTGTCCCAGCTCCTGCTAACCTAGCAGTTCGAAAGCACGCCAGTGCAAGTAAATAAATAGGTACCACTATGGCGGGAAGGTAAATGGAAATTCCATGCGCTCTGGCTTCCATCATGGTGTTTTGTTGTGCTAGAAGCGGTTTAGTCCTGCTGGCCACATGACCCGGAAAGCTGTCTGTGGACAAACGCCGGCTCCCTCGGCCTGAAGCGAGATGCGCGCTCCAACCCCATAGTTGCCTTTGACTGGACTTAACTGTCCAGGGGTTCCTTACCTTTACCATGTCCACACAATGGAAGATGGCAGGATCCCCAGGAATATACTGTATGGGAAGCTGGTTTAAGGCACCAGGCAGACCAAGTCTGTGTTACAAAGATGTCTGCAAACCTGACATAAAGGCTGGCAACATCAGCCCTGGCACATGGGAAGACCTTGCATGCAAACACATAGCTTAATTAACCAACTAAACTATAAGCAGTGGGCAGGCTGACTTGCATGTGGTTTTCTCAATTTCTCTTGGAGGAAGTGGGAGGTAGTGAAAGAAGTATATGGACTATGATTGGGCTCACACCCTTACCAGGAAGCGTCCATTATGCACTGTTGGGAGTTAAAAATAATAGAAGGTCGTGCAGCCTCCCTAGGTCACTCCCCTTCCATGTCCAGTGGGGGTGTTTGCAGACAATTTTTGGGAAGCAAAGAGCAGGGGTGAGGAACTTGTGACCCTCCAGGTGTTGTTGGGCGTCCAGTACTCATCAGTTCTGGCTAGCATGGTCAGAGATTATAGGAGATGCAGTGCAACATCTGGAGGACTGCAGGTTCCCCATCCTGGACTCAGTGGGATAAACATATGAAATGATCTCCCCCAAAATAACCTCCGCAGACTTTAGTGCTGCGGCTGGTGAGGTACTCTGAGCTAACATATGGACATGGGCTTGGTTGCATGCTTCAGGTATGGTATTGATCATGGCGGGTCATATTTCCAACAGCTCGAGCCGAAGAAGGAACGGGTCAAGAAATAAACGAGAATCCCAGAATCACAGGTGAGAGTGGTTTGCTGTTTAACCATCAACTGTAAAGCCTTCTTTTGGCGGCAAATTGTCCATGTTGTAGCTGTGCGTGTCAGATGACCTGGGTGTCTCTACAGAGAGCATTTCCCTCAGATGCCAGGGCAGGTGGGAAGACCAATGATGCAGCCACCTTTGCTGAAGCCAAGCAGGTTTGGGTCCAGTCAGGCCTGGACGGGAGGCTTCCTGGCAATTCCCTATGTATGCTGTCTCGAGTTCCGGGAGGAATGAAAGATTTGCATTTGGCACATGCATGTACTAAATAATAATAAGAAGAAGAGTTTGGATTTGATATCCCGCTTTATCACTACCCTAAGGAGTCTCAAAGCGGCTCACAATCTCCTTTCCCTTCCTCCCCCACAACAAACACTCTGTGAGGTGAGTGGGGCTGAGAGACTTCAGAGAAGTGTGACTGGCCCAAGGTCACCCAGCAGCTGCATGTGGAGGAGCGGAGACGCGAACCCGGTTCCCCAGATTACGAGATTACCGCTCTTAACCACTACACCACACTGACCCCTTATAAATAAATAAATAAGGGGTCCCAACTCACTTGTTGAGATCTTATGGGGAGGCCTCGCTTGGAACACCTTTAAGGATTCAAGTAGAAGCAACTACGTGTGTTCAGTAAACCTGAAGGAGCATCTTCCACCATAGCTGTCAACGTTTCCCTTTTTTAAAGGGAAATTACCTTATTCCAAATAGGATTCCTCGCAAGAAAAGGGAAAAGTTGACAGCTATGTCTTCCACCCCCATCGTTCAGCCCGGACACTGACGTCCAGCTCTGAGGGCCTTCTGGCAGTTCCCTCACTGCGAGAAGTGAGGTTATGGGGGGGAGGTTATTGGTGGTGGCGCCTGCCCTGTGGAACGCCCTACCTTCAGATGTCAAGGAAATAAACAACTATCTGACTTACAGTGGTACCCCGGGTTAAGAACTTAATTCGTTCCGGTGATCCGTTCTTAACCTGAAATGGTTCTTAACCTGAGGTACCACTTTAGCTAATGGGGCCTCCTGCTGCCACCGCGCGATTTCAGTTCTCATCCTGAGGTAAAGTTCTTAAGCTGAGGTACTATTTCTGGGTTAGCGGAGTCTGTAACCTGAAGTGTATGTAACCCGAGGTACCACTGTATAAAGGTAAAGGGACCCCTGACTGTTAGGTCCAGTCGCAGACGACTCTGGGGTTGCGGCGCTCATCTCGCTTTACTGGCCGATAGAAGACATCTGAAGGCAGCCCAGTTTAGGGAAGTTTTAAATGTTTGATGTTTTGTTGTGTTTTTAATATTATGTTGGGAACCACCCAGAGTGGCTGGGGAAACCGAGCCAGATGGGCAGGGTATAAATAATAAATTATTATTATTATTATTATTATTATTATTATTACTTGCCCTGAATGGAGACCTTCAGAGAACAACCTAAAACTTAATGTTCTTTGCTTGTCACCATCAAACTTCTCCTCTCACTGTGTCCCTCTCACAACAGCCCTGTGAAGTAGATTCCTACAGTTCTCATTTTACAAAAGGGGTTGGAAGGGCACCAGCATTCACCCAGCCAGGCCAGTCATCAGGGCCGTGGTGGAGGTAAGATTTCAGTCTGCAAATCCAGCCCTATTAACCCCAGGGCTGCACGTAACTTTCAGATTTTCTAGATATTTGGATCTGCTTTAGGCTCAGAGCATTTGATGATATCCCTTGTGGGTTCCTTTTCGGGTATACAGTGGTACCTCGGGTTACATATGCTTCAGGTTACAGACGCTTCAGGTTACAAACTCCGCTAACCCAGAAATGGTACCTTGGGTTAAGAACTTTACCTCAGGATGAAAACAGAAATCGTGCTCTGGCGGTGCGGCAGCAGCGGGAGGCCCCATTAGCTAAAGTGGTGCTTCAGGTTAAGAACAGTTTCAGGTTAAGAACGGACCTCCGGAACAAATTAAGTACTTAACCCAAGGTACCACTGTACGCCACTTTGAATGTCTTTATTTATTTATACCGTATTTACTCGAATGTAACGCACACCTTTTTTTGGCCAAACTTTGTTGAGAAAATTAGGGTGCGCATTAGATTTTATGGCGCATTTGATTTGCGTAAATGCGGTAATTAAACTGTGTGTAAATTTTATGATATAAGTTATGCAGCATATGCTTTTTTTTTTTTTAATCAGTCTCTGAGATGTTCTCTTTGTTCTTTAAACAGGCCAGGCAGTTGAAACGCACAATGAGGATCATCTGCCGGGTGTTACCTATGAGCCTAAACAAAGTATGTGAGCTGGTGAATGTTGATAACATTAACTGCAAAGGCTGTAAGAGTGATCTTGCTGAGGAAATCTTGCTAAGGAGCTTGGTTTGAAAGAAAAGCCCAATTGTAGTAACAACAGCAACAAATCTTTTTGAAATATACTCATTGTCGAGAGTGGATTTCATGCTCTTTATTCAGCTCATAGTGGTGAGGAGGAATGGAAGTTCCCCCAAAGTATCTGCTTTATATACATTATTTACACAATGGGTCCCACGTGATTGGCTAATTCCGGAATTCTCCTGTAGGCCAATCAGGTTGTGGATTGTCTTCCATCTGGAGCTGGATTGGGTGGCTCCTGCGGACCAATCATACTGCTGCATTGTTCTAGGACCAATCAGACTGCTGCATTCTGAATCCTATTGTTCTGGGACCAATCGGACTGTTGCATTTTGGATCCTATTGTTCTAGGACCAATCAGACTGCTGCATTTTGGATCTTATTCAACTCAGTACACAACACCTTTTTAAAGGGTGTGCATTGAATATTTTCAGCTTCTGGTTTTTCAGTATTCTCTGGCACCATTATTTCCTGACTGTTGGTTCTTCAGGGCTACTTTTCTGCAATCTGGATTTACAGTGGTGCCTCGCAAGACGAAATTAATTCGTTCCGCAAGTTTTTTCTTCTTGCGAGTTTTTCGTCTTGCGATGCACGGTGTCCCATCGGAATGCATTGCAAAGCAATTAATGCGTTCCTAGGGACACCGACGACAGCCCAGGTCCGGCGACAGACTCTCCCCCGACCTCATCTCAAGGCTGGGGGACAAGGGCTTTTCTTCCACCCACCCCAGCATTTTAAAAACTCCGGGACAGCGGAGGGCTTCTCCGCTGTCCGGGGCGATCTTAAAATGCTGGCGGGCGGCATTTAAAGTTGCTCCCGGGACAGCGGGAGGACTTCTCCGCTGTCCGGGGCAATTTGAAAGCCCCTGGGAAGGCAGGCAGGGGGACAAAGACTTTGCCCCCGCCAGCCTTCAGAAGAGGTCCTGGACCTCTTCTGAAGGCTGGCGGGGGCGAAAGTCTTTGTCCCCCCACCTGCCTTCAAAAGCTGTCCAGCCAAGGCTTCGCGGACCTCTCCGCAAGCAGCGGCAGCACTGCCGCTGCTTGCGGAGAGCTGCCGGCATGCCGGAGCCTGCGCGCGCTGAGATCAGCGCGCCCAGGCTTCGCGGACCTCTCCGCGAGCAGCGGCAGCGCTGCCGCTGCTTGCGGAGAGCTGCCGGCATGCCGAAGCCTGCGCGCGCTGAGATCAGCGCGCCCAGGCTTCGCGGACCTCTCCTGCCTTCAAAGCCGTCCGGGATAGCGGAAGCGCTCCCTGCTATCCCGGACTGCTTTTAAAATGCTGGCGGTGGGGAGCAAAGCCTTCGGCCCCCGCCAGCCTTCCTGGACCTCTTCTGAAGGCCGGAGGGGGGAAGGCTTTGCTCCCACCGCTAGCATTTAAAAGAGGTCCTCGGAGATTTCCTATGGGCTTTCGTCTTGCGAAGCAAGCCCATAGGGAAATCTGCTTTATGAGCGCCTCCAAAACGGAAAACCCTTTCGTCTAGCGGGTTTTCCGTCTTGCGAGGCGTTCGTCTTGCGGGGCACCACTGTATTTTGCTTATGTCACCTTTGATATGTGATATGGAGCCTGTGCAAGGGCTTCCTCATTCCAAACCCAGAGGATTTAACATGCTACCTCTTAAAAATGAATATTCGGTTATTTCAAAACCCATAAGAAAGAGCAAGCACGTTTCCCACCCCACCAACCTGAAAAGCAGCAAGAGGGGCATTTCATTTTTCCTGCCACTTTTGCATGTTTTTACTGTGTAATTGACTTGATACCTCTGTTTGCAAGTTCTCGTTGTTTGTTTTTCTCCAGATCAAATCACTGTGGAAATACATCCGAGACACAGCACATCGCGGAGCAAAAAGAAGTTCTCCTTCAGAAAAGGTAGGTCCGTTTCTGTGTTACAATGCATAAGAAAACAGATTATTATTATTATTATTTTATGGGAAATGTTTCAGCTTCCTCCTACCTGAGCTGCTTTAATGTGAATTAAAGGGTGCTGTAGTGAGTGTGGCAGATCAAAGAACACTGAGGATGACATATTCGTAAGTGCTGCATATTCTGTAACCTTCTGGAAGCAAGAAGTGACCTGTACTTTTTAGACGTGCACAGGAATGCTAAACAGGTTTGGCTAGAGCTATGAGCTTAACCAAGAGACTTGTTCGCAGCCTCCCTGTCCTTAGAATCTCATTTTAAAGATATAAAACCACAGGCAGGCAGAGGACCCAAAGATGGACATCCAAAATACCCCCCCCCCCATATTCCGAAAGAGCTGAGAAACGTATTCATGTATGCAACCGCTGCCGCAAGAATCTTAATAGCTAAATGGTGGAAGGGAGATAAAATACCAACTAAAATGGAGGGCAGGTGAAAGTACTTGAATATGTAGAATTGGCAAAGATGACAGGAAAAATTAGGAACCAGACAAACCAACAGTTTAACAAAGAATGGGATTTATTCAGATTGTATTTAAAAGAACATTGTTCTCATAGAAAATCTTTGACATGCTTTGATTAACTTCTGCAAAATGTCATATGCTACAAAGATCATGGATAATTTGTGTTAAGTTAAAGAGTATAGAAATATGCAGTCAACAAGGAAACGAAGGACCCATCCTGAGGATGATGGAAGTCTGAACATATGGAAGAATTTTATTTTATATGTAACATTTTCTTTGTATTTGATGGGATCTGTTTTTGTTGTTCTCTATGTGGTGAAGGGACTTAATATTGAAAAATTAATAGAGATTAAATTGCAAAATAACCCCCAATCCTATAATGTATTATTCCACCTTGTGTTCCTATGGATTTATTTATTTTTTGTAACTCATTCTTTGTGTGCATGTGTGCTCCTGGTGTTGCAGGAATCCAGGTATTTCCTGAGTGGACAGGGAAGGACAATGAAGGTAAGGGCTCCAAATGGAACTTAGGTTCACATGTGATGGAGGTGTAAATATGGACAATATTTCTGGCAAAGGGTGTTTAAGGAGATAACATAAATCACTGGGACAAAGCTGACCAAAAGTCCAGAGGTAGCATCAATTTACGATGGGGTAGAAGGTTCGCAGGCTATGAAGGACTTCCTCACAAATATATTGAAAGCTGCACGAATTATGGTATCTTGGAAGTGGAAGGGGCAAGCAGAATATAAAATGGGGAAATGGCATGAAGAGGTGTGGGATATAGCTATTAATGATAAATTAACATGTGCCATTAAGGTAAGCGGGGAATATGCAGGAGAAATGATTTTGAGGAGATACGGAAGGTGTTTGTAGAAGTTGTACTGTTAAAAGGGAAAGGGGGTCAAACCATCGCTAGAGGTGTTGAAATTTTGGGAGGTTGGATAGTTACAATGGAATGGTTTCAGTGGTGGGGTGCACATTTTTATTATTTATTTATGATTATTTCTTTGTCAAAATAATAATAATAATAATAATAATAATAATAATAATAATAGCTATTTTATATCGAGGGTTGTTCACACTTCTGTTTGCCCCCGCCACTTTCCATGGGAAACCCATTTTTTACCACTGAATTAGAGCAAACATCAACAGGCTTTTCTACAGATTGATGTTTGCTCCGATTCAGCACTAAAGAGCAGGTTTTCCTGGGGAAAGTGGTGGGGCAAATGGAAAACTGCTTGGAGCCATACCTAGAAAGCAATGGAAAAGTGGGAAACCACTCAGACCCATATGAATGAGTCCTGAGTCAGATCATTGGTTCATCTAGATCAGGGGTCAGCAAACCTTTTCATCAGGGGGCTGGTTCACTGTCCGTCAGACCTTGTGGTGGTGGTGGTGGGGGGCGGAGTATATTTTGAAAAATATAAATACCCTGCAAGCGGGTCCCGCAGCTGCCTCTGGACCTGGAGGAGGAAGGCATTCAGGACATGCTCAGGAGCCCATCTCGGTGTCGCCCGCTCACTGGCGCTGTTGACGAGTAGCAGCCACACCATTGGCCTGTCCCTGTGAAGCTCCCAGGTGGCGTGCACCACGAGCTGCGGCCTGTCGTCCGAGGCCAGGTCAGTGGGCAAGCCACGCACTCCTCCAGCACGGCCGCTGAGTGTGCCAACAGCAGCAGCGCCGAACCAGGCGCCAGGCGTGGGGCCAGCTGGGGTGCCAAGCTCTGGCTGAAGCCCCGCGGTGCGCCCGTCACGATGCCCATGGCGTGGCCCAGACCCGCCGCCCCCCTGCCCGCCGGCCGGGGGGAAGAAGAAGAAGAGTTTTGGATTTGATATCCCGCCTTTCACTCCCTTTAAGGAGTCTCAAAGCGGCTACCATTCTCCTTTCCCTTCCTCCCCCACAACAAACACTCTGTGAGGTGAGTGGGGCTGAGAGACCTCAAAGAAGTGTGACTAGCCCCAGGTCACCCAGCAACTGCATGTGGAGGAGCGGAGACGCGAACCCGGTTCCCCAGATTACGAATCTACCGCTCTTAACCACTACACCACACTGGCTCTCTGTCCATGACTGCGCCGGGTTTACCTCAGCGCGTGGGCGGCAAAGGTTTGGATTGGCTTCAGGAACTTCCTGCAGCCAATCCAAATCTGCGCCAGCGTCACAGAAGTCAGTCCCTGCGCGGCAAAGCATCTGTGACTTCTTTTCAAGGAAACGCCACGCCGGTTTAGCTCAGTGCGGGGATTGACCGAGTGGGCGGCAGAGTCTGCGGGCCAGATTTACGAGCCTGGTGGGCCACATCCAGCCCCCGGGCCGTAGTTTGCCAACCCCTGATGTAGACCAGTATTGTTGATCCTGACCAGCAAACAGCCTCCTGGCGTTTCAGGTGGGAAACATTCATAGCACTGCCAGGAGATGTTTGAGTTTGAACCAGGGCCTTTCTGCTTGCCAAGCAGATGCTCCAGCAGCGAGCTATGGCCCACTCCCTAAAGGCAGAATTCAGAGCAAAGATTGCGCTCAATCAAGGGGGTGGAGCGACTCGCCTTTGAAGAAAGGGTGCTGTGTTTTTCCTCCATCTCCCTTAACACTAGAACTCATGAGCATCCAAACTGGAAGACTGCCTTCCCCCATGTTGGCTGGGTTCGGTGGGAGTTAGTAACGTAGCAGCCTCTGGGGGGCAGCAGCTTCTGCATCATTGCTTTAAGGCAGGGGTCAGCAACCTAAGGCCCATGGGCCGGAAGCAGCCCGCGGAGGTCGTTTGACCGGCTCACGAGCCGCCCCCGAAATGAGTTGCCTGCTTGCGCCCTGTGCTAACCCCACACAGCGCGGTGCGGGGACTCGCTTCTGCGGCGCCGGAAATCGCGTTTGTGCAGACGCAGATGCTGGAAATCGTGTCTGCGCATGGACAGACGCTGGAAATCACAGGCGTACGCTCTCACATATGCGCGATATACAGCCCACGGAGGGATCCTGGCAGGACCGATCCGGCCCAGGCAAGATAAACCTTGCTGACCCCTGCTTTATGGGCAGCTATGAAAATTACACTGACAGCGGGTGGCGCTGTGGGTTAAACCACAGAGCCTAGGACTTGCCGATCAGAAGGTCGGCGGTTTGAATCCCCACGACGGGGTGAGCTCCCGTTGCTCGGTCCCTGCTCCTGCCCACCTAGCAGTTTGAAAGCACGTCAAAGTGCAAGTAGATAAATAGGTACCTCTCCGGCGGGAAGGTAAACGGCATTTCTGTGCGCTGCTCTGGTTCGCCAGAAGTGGCTTAGCCATGCTGGCCACATGACCCGGAAACTGTACGCCGGCTCCCTCGGCCAATAAAGTGAGATGAGCGCCGCAACCCCAGAATCGGTCACGACTGGACCTAATGGTCAGGGGTCCCTTTACCTTTTAAGAGCAATATATCGAGGTATCTGTGGCTGTATGCATGTTGTTGGGCTCCCATTGTTTCCCGGCCAGCATGACTAATGGCCAGGAATGATGAATGTTGCAAAATACGTTTGAATGTACATATTGTCTCATCCCAGCAATAACCATTTTGCAGGGTTTCAGGATGATGGAGAAAAGGGATCAAAGCTGTCTAAGGGACAAGTTCTGTATGGTAAATATAAGTTGTTTTTATTTATTTATATAAATTTTATTTTTGCATTTTCTAGTTTACATAAACAAATGAATTAAATACATAAACATATAATCAATTTTGACTCCTCCCCCCCATTGTGGATCTTAATGTAATGATTTCCCCCTCTATCTCTTTCATAACTCTATTTTTATAAATCGTTTCTCAATCCATAGTTCAAATTTTTACACAAGTTTTCTGTCAATCCTACCGATATATGTACCGTAATTGTTTACAATAGCTTTTCAAATAAATTATAAACCTTCCCTGTTCTTTATTAAAGACCTCCTCTTCCTGGTTTCTAATTCTTCCTGTAAGAATTTCCTCTTTAGATCGCATAAAAGTTGTTTGTTATATTTGCCTGCTGGCCTGGATCCTGTATACAGCGGTTCTTCAGGTTACGAACTTAATTCGTTCCGGAAGTCCGTTCTTAACCCAAAGCGTTTTTAACCCGAGGCGCGCATTCCCTACATAGGCCTCCTGTGGGCCTGGAAGCAGATTGCGTTCGTATTCCAGGGCAAAGTTTGCAACCCGGAACACCTACTTCCGGGTTTGTGGAGTTCGTAACCAGAAGCGTTCGTAAGCAGGACTGTTCATAACCCAAGGTACCACTGTATTTGGTGTGGGGAGTCTTTAGCTCGCCAGGTGTTGTTAGACTACAATTCCCATCAGCCCCAACAAGCATGGCCAGTGGCCAAGGAATGATGGTAGTTATAGTTCAGCAGCTTCTGGCAGGCCAAAGATCCCCCACACATCTTATATATCTTAGCTGAGCCCATCCACAACCACTTGAGTTCTTCTGGGAACAAGGCTTGCATGGGAAATATTAACCGCACTGAACCTTGGCCACCAAGGCCGACCCTACCATTAGACAGAGCAAAATGCTGCCTCAGGCATCAGATACTTGGGAACGGGAAGAATGAGTGAGGTGTCGTTGGGCAGCTCTGTACATGCTAACGCAGCCTGCCCTGCATCCTCTAATTTAGCCTGCTCTCCTCAGGTACGGTGGAGCATTCTGTCTCATCCCCAGTGTTTGGTTCCTGCAAGCGGAATGGGGTTTCTATTATATGTGGCATGTGGGTGGGTGGGTACATTTTGTCCATCACTTCATGCAGTCCTGTTTGTGTCACTGTTATGCTATCTGCTAGGGTTAAAAGACAGAGGTTTTGGTGTGAAGGGAGATTCTTTGAGGAGGTAACAAGTATTCAAGTGTGAGGTGCGCACCATGCCACTCCCATTACAAGATTCGTCTGCTTTGGCCCAAGAAAAGCCATGCTCTAAAAATGTTTCGCAAGAACTGATCAGCATCCTATCTGGTCCAGCACTGTTGGGGTGTCCCCCTTTTCTCCATGGCTGTTTAAGCAGAGCAATAATGGTAACAGGGTAGGTGAAACCCCTCTACTCCCTGCTACTGGATTTCATTTGAGGAGCAGCACAGTTGGCTCCCTGTTTATTTGCCGTGGGGATGCAGATGCAGCGTGGGGGCACATCCCCACCTCAGCATAAGACACGCCACAGCGTGTCTAGCCGCCATGCCCACTCTCTGACCTTTGCCTCCCTCGCAGAAAGTTTGCTTAAGTTCCACTTGGCTGGATGGTTGGCGAATGTAGCAGACTTTCGAGTATCAGGGGAACATTTGGGGGGAAACGCCTGTCTGACATGTGAATCGCTAACACTAGAAATGTGCCTTGCTGGAAATACATTAAGTTCAGGATTGTTTTGCTACTCTTTCCAATTGTTGACTTCTGCTAATAAAAGGAGCCTTGGCAGAGCTAGCCGGCAGCTTGCTTGGAGCATGCTTGCATGCTTGCTCCTGCACAGCTCACGTGCATTTACTAGTTTTTTTGCTCTATAAGACTCACTTTTTCCCTCCTAAAAAGTAAGGGGAAATGTGTGTGCGTCTTATGGAGTGAATGCAGGCTGCGCAGCTATCCCAGAAGCCAGAACAGCAAGAGGGATTGCTGCTTTCACTGCGCAGCGATCCCTCTTGCTGTTCTGGCTTCTGAGATTCAGAATCTTTTTTTTCTTGTTTTCCTCCTCCAAAAACTAGGTGCGTCTTGTGGTCTGGTGCGTCTTATAGAGCGAAAAATACGGCAGCTCCCATGCCGTCCTCCGTTATTTCAACAATTTGCCCTTTCCTGTTCACTGTAGTCCAACCCTATTAATCACATTTTAGGTCCTTCTCCTTTTCGCCCCCTTCTGTTTTTCTACTGGACTTCCTCTGTTTAAGGAATCATCATCATAATTTATTATTTGTACCCCGCCCATCTGGCTAAGTTTCCCCAGCCACTCTGGGCGGCTTCCAACAAAGATTAAAAATACATTAAAATTTCACACCTTAAAAACTTCCCTGAACAGGGCTGCCTTCAGATGTCTTATAAATGTCAGGTAGTTGTCTATCTCTTTGACATCTGATGGGAGGGCGTATCACAGGGCGGGTGCCACTACCGAAAAGGCCCTCTGCCTAGTTCCCTGTAGCTTTGCTTTTCGCAGTGAGGGAACTGCTAGAAGGCCCTCGGCGCTGGACCTCAGTGTCCGGGCAGAACGATGGGGGTGGACACGCTCCTTCAGGTATACTGGGCCGAGGCCATTTAGGGCTTTAAAGGTCAGCACCAACACTTTGAATTGTGCTCGGAAATGTACTGGGAGCCAGTGTAGGTCTTTCAAGACCAGTGTTATGTGGTCTTGGCGGCCGCTCCCAGTCACCAGTCTAGCTGCCGCATTCTGGATTAGTTGTAGTTTCCAGGTCACCTTCAAAGGTAGCCCCACATAGAGCGCATTGCAGTAGTCCAAGCGAGAGATAACTAGAGCATGCACCACTCTGGCGAGACAGTCCGCGGGCAGGTAGAGTCTCAGCCTGCGTACCAGATGGTGCTGATAAACAGCTGCCCTGGACACAGAATTGACCTGTTCCTCCATAGACAGCTGTGAGTCCAAAATGATTCCCAGGCTGCACACCTGGTTCTTCAGGGGCACAGTTACCCCATTCAGGACCAGGGAGTCCTCCACACCAGCCCACCCCCTATTCCCCAAGAACAGTACTTCTGTCTTGTCAGGATTCAGCCTTAATCCATTAGCCGCCATCCATCCTCCAACTGCCTCCAGGCACTCACACAGGACATTCACCGCCTTCACTGGTTCTGATTTGAAAGAGAGGTACAGCTTTTCCATGTTTGTTCCTAGATTACCCATGGGATAAATCCAGTCTGAAAACAATACCAGTCGACTTGACACAGTTTAAGGAACTGGATGCCTATGCATCAAAGGTATGCAATCTCTTTTACAGGGTGGAATAATAGTGTGGAATTTGCTGGGATGCAGAGATCCTTTTCCATGTGGATTTGGAATTTGAGAGTGCCTTCAAGTGTGCTCTCCTGATAGGAGGAAACCCTCCGTTCCCAATGGGAAACATCATGAGTCGCAAGACCCAGCTCCTGTTTCCCACATGATGGACAGACACAACAGAGCGCCTATTTATGTAGGCTGCATATGCACCATAGGTAAAGGACCCCTGGACGGTTAAGTCTAGTCAAAGGTGACTATGGGGATGTGGGAGGCACTGTGGTCTAAACCACTGAGCTTCTTGGGGTTACCCATCAGAAGGTTGGTGGTTCAAATCCCTACAACAGGGTGAGCTCCCGTTGCTCTGTCCCAGCTCGTGCCAACCTAGCAGTTCGGAAGCATACCAGTGCAAGTAGATAAACAGGTACCACTGGGGCGGGAAGGTAAACAGCGTTTCTGTGCGCTCTGGTTTCTGTCACGGTGTCCCGTTGTGCCAGAAGCTGTTTAGTCCTCCTAGCCACATGACACGGAAAGCTGTCTGTGAACAAATGCTGGCTCCCTCCGCCTGAAAGCGAGATGAGCGCTGCAACCCCATAGTCACCTTTGACTGGACATAACCGTCCAGGGGTCCTTTACCTTTTACCTTTTATACGCACTATATAAATACACCAAAGTATCCTGGAAACTATCATAACCCCACAGAGCTGCAATTCCCAGAACCCGTAAACAAACCACTGTTCCTAGGATTCTTTTTTGGGGCAGAGAGATATGCTTTAAATGTTTCATACAGTACTTAGCTATTTTGGGATGGCATTCCCTTGGCTGCTCCTTTGCTTTTAAAATTCAAGAGATAAATCAAAAGTCAAATAAGATTAGAGTCAACAACCACAGTTTAGCAGCCATTCCCTCTCCTCAGAGAACTCTGGCTAGCAGTCATTAACAAGCAATTATCAGTGCCGATGTGAGGAATCTCTGAAGGAACTCATGACAATTAAACTGGTGTACAATCAATATGTATTGTTGGTGGTGGCGGCACAGCAGTCCACCCCAGATTTCACACTTCTGCCTGGTGACAACAGTAGGGCCGGCTCTGGATCCTGGGCTGCCTCAGCCCCTCGCCCTCCCTGCTCTCAGCAGGGCTGTCTTAAGCATATGCGGTGCCGGGGTGCAAAGATCTGCCCGGTGGCCCCCCCGGTTGCCCAGTTCCAGGAGAGTAGGAGGGCGGAGCCAGCCAGCTGCCTCAGCGTCTTACTGGCTCAGTCGCCCCCAAACTCGTGGCACAGAGCCCCCCGCAGCAGAAGAGCCCACCACGGCGCTCTAACCAATGGGCGGTCTCTTCCCTGGACTCAACTCTTGGGCCCCTGACTCTCAGCCTGGCGCCCCTGAGAGCCCAGAGCCCGGGTGTCCCGCACCCCTAGCACCTGTGGGTAAGACGGCCCTGGCTCTCAGAATGCCCTGCTGGCTGTAGTTTCGCCCACCCACAGGTGGAACAGGTTGCTCTGTACTGGTGGATGGAGACTGGCATCTCTCTCCACCAGTAGAAGTCAGCACTTCTGCCAAATCCAAGACCACCACCCATTGCCCGACACAAAGGGGATTTGAATTTCAGTGAAAGATTGTGGGAATGGCATGCCCCTGTGCCCTGGAAAAGATTATGCATGCTTCTCCCTTCAGAACAATTCTTAATGTGCAGTTCTGTGCAGTTTTACTCAGAAGTAAGCTCCACTGAGTTCAAAAAGACCGACACCCGCTCGGAAAATTCATCAGCATTCTAATGCAAATTCCTCCTAATGCACTGAATTTTGCAAAGCGTTTCCCCTAATACAATGTGTTCTTATGCACATATTACCTTGCATGCATATTTATTACATGTACATACGTTTTTGCAGACATTCCTATCTGAAGAGCTGTACTGCAACACCCAGAGCAGGGCAGATTTTGAAAGATTGCTCTGTTTCAGTTTGTTTATCATTTCGGAAAGCGCAAATTAAATAGGGTGACCTTGAAATGTAAAAAAGAAATGAAAAAAGACTGGCACCCATGTCAGTGCATGTAGGACTGCACCTTAGGCTTTATTTAAACAGGTGGTTGCCTTAGATAGAAAAATGGAACTGGGTACCCCTTTCCCATATCAAAAGCTACTGGATCTTTTCCCTCTTGTGAAACAGGTAAATGTCAGGAATAGCGTGGCAAACCTGGTGAGTGCCTTGCTCCAAAAAGCCCACAGTGACCTGGAGAAAGTCCGAGCCATTTGGATGTGGATTTGCCGCCACATAGGTAGGTGGCGGTGACAACTTTTTGTATGCTTGTGCCTCTTTGCTTCTGACAACATCACAACGGACAGGCATTCCACAGGTAAAGCTCTCCCCTAGCCCTGCATCTCCATCCATACTGGGGGAGATTTTCCTTTGGAAGTGCTGCCTGCCTTGCAGCCTGGATGCCCCACAGGAGTGAGAAAACTCTGAAACAGGATGGGGAAGCTGTGGCCATAATGTTGAACTACAAACTCCCATCATTCCTGACCACTGGTCATGCTAGCATGCGGTGAGAGGAGCAGGAAGTCTCTGTGCTGCTGGTTGTTGCTTTTCTTTAGAATTGATTGCAGAGTCAGTTGAGGTACATTCAAAGCACATTCTTTTCCTCAAAGAAGTCTGGGCACTGTGGTGTGTTGAGTATTGCTGGGAATTGTAACTGTGAGGCGTATTCTACAGTGTCCAGAATTATTTGAGGGAAAGAATGTGCTTTGAATGTGTGTTAAAGGTGAGGTGGCATGTAACAATAGGTAAAAAGGTAAAGGTAAAGGACCCCTGGACAGTTAAGTCCAGTCAAAGGCGATTATGGGATTGTGGTGCTCATCTCGCTTTCAGGCCAAGGGAGCCGGTGTTTGTCCACAGACAGCTTTCCAGGTCATGTGGCCAGCAGGACTAAACTGCTTCTGGTGCAGTGGGACACGACGGAAACCAGAGCGCACAGAAACACTGTTTACCTTCCTGCCGCAGCAGTACCTATTTATCTACTTGCACTGGCATGCTTTCGAACTGCTAGGTTGGCAGGAGTTGGGACAGAGCGATGGGAGCTCACCCCGTCGCGGGGATTTGAACCGCCGACGTTACAATCGGCAAGCCCAAGAGGCTCAGTGGTTTAAACCACAGCGCCACCCATGTCCCATGTAACAATATTTTCATTTAATTGATCAATCACTCTGATCTTCTGCTCAAAGTTTGCATTCCGAGTGAAACTGTTGCAGTCCCTTATTCACTGTGCATTTCATGCTTTGGGGTGGTATGTCTTTTTTTCTCCAGAATACGATGTGGAAGGCTACCATAACCTTGACAAGGTGTCTTGTGAGGCAGCTGATGTCCTTCGATCAGGAAAAGGCATTTGCGCTGGATATTCTGGACTCTTTGAAGAAATGTGCAGGTAATTCCTATTGGCCCCAGTCTCCATGACAAACGGTTGTTACTTGGCAAGGATGATGGGAGGTATGGTGAGCCACGGGTTCCCTAACCCAGCCCCAAACTATGAATGCTCCTGAAGCAAATTTTGATATATAGGCTTGCATTGTAATTGAGGTAGGTCCATTGAAATCAATTCATGATTAACTTGTTTTCAGTGGTATTCAGCCCATATTCTCTTAGTTTGCATTTTATATTCTAATGCACAATTATGGAAAGAAGGACCAAAACACAGGTGTGCTGGAAATCTTGTACGCACCCTGTTATGTATTCAGTTTGCCTGAGCTTGAGTCTGGACTAAGGATTCTGACCCCTGTGTTCTGATTTGATACATGATATCCAATCACAGAACATTTCAGGATTTGGGCCTCTGCCATGGGACGCGGGTGGCGCTGTGCCCTAAACCACAGAGCCTAGGGCTTGCCAATCAGAAGGTCAGCAGTTCGAATCCCTGTGACTGGGTGAGCTCCCATTGCTCGGTACCTGCTCCTGCAGACCTAGCAGTCTGAAAGCACATCAAAGTGCAAGTAGATAAATAGGTACCACTCCGGCGGGAAGGTAAACGGCATTTCCATGCGCTGCTCTGGTTTCACCAGAAGCGGCTTAGTCATGCTAGCCTCATGACCCGGAAAAACTGTCTGCAGACAAACGTCGGCTCCCTCGGCCAGTAAAGCAAGATGAGCGCCGCAACCCCAAAGTTGTTCGCGACAGGATTTAACTGTCAGGGGTCCTTTACCTTTTTACATTGGCTGTTAAACTCTGAGTCATGATTCGCATCTTGGAAGTTTAGACAGCCAATCACGTTGGGAGTGGGAGTGGCCAAGGCCTTCAGAAATGTACATAAGCAGTTGCTTTGCTCCTGTTGTCCAGTTCTGTTAATTCAATAAAGGTTCTTGCTGTTATCACTCTGTCTTGCCTCGTGGGAACCTGCCTACGCTTCACACCCTCCCTAAACAAGCATCCTTCACCAATCACTGCCTGCATGTTTTATAGCCCCTCTGTGCTACCTTAGAAGCTTAAGCTAAATTTCTCTGTCTGTCTGTCTTCAGAATGTAAGCTGAGATTCTCAGGCTGCCAGATTTTGCTTCTGACGACAGCTTCTGTGTCAATGCATGAAATGCAATGGGCTTGAAATAATGTTGTTTGGCTTCTCCCTGAAAACAGAACAAAAATTATGCATGACAATTCCAGCCCAAAAGAGCAGTGAAATGGCATTCCTGAGTACTTTTCTTTCTCCTCAGTATTGCAGGGATACAGTGCAAGACGTTGTCAGGGTACGCCAAAGGGGCTGGGTACAAACTAGGAAAAGTCTTTAAGGGAGCGAGTAATCATGCTTGGAATGTTGTCCATCTGGATGGAAGCTGGCACCTTTTGGACAGTACGTGGGGAAGTGGTTACGTGGATGATGGCAAGAAGAGCTTCACTTTCAGGTATGCTGTTAGGCAAAAGAAAGCCTGAAGACAGTGTGGGACTCAGTGAAGGTATAGTTTACTTCTGGTGCTTTTAGAAGGCTTTTTATTTTGTCTGTTTGCGATTTGATGGCTACAGGGCTGACCATTTGCAATGAGAACCAAGCCGATGGTGATGGGGGAAATTATGGAAACTCCACCAACCATTCATTTATCTCCTTGAGTGGTTGTAGAGTATTATGCTTATCCTGGGGATGATGGAAGCTAGGTTGTTGCAACATAACAGCCTCCGTCAACCCAGTGCCCTCCAGCTGTTTTGGACCACAATTCCCATCATCCTTCATGCTAGCTGGGGTTGATGGGACATAGAGTTCAGCAACATCTGGAAGGAATCAGATTGGGGAAGGCTTGTTTAGCACAGTGTGCAAAGCCTCAGCTGTGCCCAATGTTAACGAAAGCTGGTTTAAACAAACTAACTGGATAAGCCATGGCTTGTCAAATAAACCACTGTTAACATTAAGCATGGATTTGGGTGAGACAAACTGATTAATCTGAACCAGGATCTAGTTTCTTCACAGCAGTGTGTGAATGTGAGGCTGGCTTTGGCTCATTTTTGACATGCTAAACCTGACATCGGAACTGCGCCATGGGCATAGCCAAGGGGGGGGGGAGGCAGGGGGAGCAGCTGCACCCCCATCAAGTAAATAAATCAAAATACTTAACTAGCTGACCGGTTGCATCGCAGATAGCTCAATTCTGCCCCCCCTAATCTAAATCCTGGCTATACACACAAACTGGGCCGATATTATTCCACACTAAGCTTTAGGTAACTTTCCCAGTTTGACTCTGGTGATGACTGAGACAATTTTATGAAATGCTGCACAATTCTGCCTTCCCCTTTTGCAGGTACAATGAGTTTTACTTCCTTACCCATCCTGCTCTGTTTATTAATGATCACTTCCCAGAAGACCACAGCTGGCAGCTTCTGAAACGGACATTATCACTGCAGCAGTTTGAACGCGATGTGTGGTATAAGCCTGCGTTTTATTCAGTGGGACTGATAGGCACCTCCACGGCAACATCAGTCATCGAAACAGGTAAAGTCAATCAGAAGCATCCGTCTTGTTGTTTTTGGCAGTTACGCTGACAATCCGTCTCATGTTTTTTCAAAGGCGAAGTGCCCCATGACATGAGTCGCTACTGCATTATTATGAAGCAGAGATGAGGGAACCTGTGGATCGGAGAACCTCCAGAGGTCGCTGGACTACAACTCCCATCATCCCTGACGATGGGTCGTGCTAACAGGGGCTGATGGGAGCTGGAGTCTCACAACAGCTGGAGGGCCACATAGGTTCCTCACGCAACAATTGTGAGGCAGCTGGATTGTGTCTGGTCTATCTGGACAATCCCCATGCATTACATATTGATATATATTTCAGCAGAGCCTAGGACCCTCATACCTACGGGACCGCCTCTCCCAGTATGCCCCACGGAGAGCCTCAAGGTCCATAAATAGCAACACCCTAGTGGTCCCGGGCCCTAAGGAAGTTAGATTAGCTTCAACCAGAGCCAGGGCCTTTTCAACACTGGCTCCGGCCTGGTGGAACACTCTGCCTCATGAGACCAGGGCCCTGCAGGATCGGATTTCTTTCCGCAGGGCCTGTAAGACAGAGTTGTTCCACCTAGCGTTTGGCTTGGAGCCAATTTGATTCCCTCCCTCTCTTTCTTTTTTCTTTTCCTTCTCCTGCGATGAGGCTACATTTTAATATTTTAATGTTTCAATATTTTAATGTTGTATTTTAATCTTGTTTTTAAGTTGTATTCATTCAACTTGTTTTTATTATTGCTTGTTAGCCGCCCTGAGCCTGGCCTTGGCTGGAGAGGGCGGGGTATAAATAAAAATTATTAATATTATTGTTATTATAAAACTCTGCTAAGACCTACTGAATGACAGAATAAATAAACATAAACCAGCACAACAAACTCTCACTTGCACAACAGAACTTTCCCCTCCTCTCCCTTGCAGTCCTCATGAGCGTTTCTCTTTTAAACAAGTATTAACCACCATTGGAAACTCTTCACTTTTCTTTCACAGAAAACGGCAAGGCAACTGTTTCCATTGAGAGTCGTTCTCCGACCCTCTTCCTTTGCAACCTCAACGGGGCAAAAGAGCAGTGCTTCATGACCTTGCAGAGGAACGGGATGACCGTGGAAGTGTATCCTCAGGAGGTGGGAACTCATAGCTTGGACATCTTTGCCAAACCTTCCAAGAGCAAGGAGGAGGACTACAGCCACGTTCTAAACTACTCCCTGGTGTGCCGATCTGTGGACAAGAGCTTCCACTTGCCCAAAGCGCTCATCTATCCTGTGGGGCCCAGCTGGTCATCAGAGGAAAAGGGGATCCTGGAGGCTTTGCCCGATAGCCCCATCATACACACCGACGACGGCCGCTGTGTTGTCACTTTCACTCGGACGAGTGACCTGGACTTCTTTGCCACCCTGGACTCGGATACCAGCCGCACGCCAGAGGCCGTACGGAGGCGTCACATCTGGACAACTCGCTGGGGCACTAAGGTTGAGTTGAAGGTACATCTCCCTCACGCAGGGGCCTTTGCTCTTCACATCTGGGCAAAGAAAGCATCTGACCCGGGCAGCAGTCACTGCGCCCTCAGCTACCTCATCTCCTGCCCAAATAAGAAGGTGACGTGGCCGGTTTTCCCACAAAGCTACACAAACTGGGAGGATGCCTTTGAGCTGGTGGCACCTCTCGCCGGGGTCCTGCCGGCCAACCGTGATGTAACGTTCAAACTCAAGCTGCCTGGTGCAGATGGGGTGTCTGTCGAATGTGGAAAGTCTCGCCCACTGAGGCTGAGTGAAGACGGTTTCTGGGAGGGAACCTGCAGCACCTCAGGTGGCTCCACAGTGACAGTGAGAATGGCAAAAGGTGGCAGTAATACCTTCTGGTCCCTGTTGGAGTACAAAGTGGAAAGTCACTAGCTTGGAGACAGACTCAGTGGGAGAGTTGTGAACCACAGATCGCTCCATCGACTCTGATTTGGCAGGGAAGCTTCACAAGGCTGCCTCCTCCCTCAACTGTTGTTTTGGGGCTGCCTCAGTGGGGGAGATAGGAAGCAGGGCTCATTTCATCAGCTTCACTGGAAGTTTCAAGGAACCTCCTGCCCCTGAACTGTGGCAGGTGGTTGTAATGTATTCAGTGGTCTGTGTTTGCCTGAGCTAAGGATTCTGAGCTCCTGTGTTCTGATTTGATACATGATGTCCAATCACAGAACATTTCAGGATTTGGGCCTCTGCCATTGGCCCTTGAACTCTGAGTTGTGATTCGCAGCTTGGAAGTTTAAACTGCCAATCACAGGAATGGGAGTGGCCCAGGCTTTCAGGAATGTATATAAGCGGTTGCTTTGCCCGTTTCCCAGTTATGTAGTTCAATAAAGTTTCTTGCTGTTATCACTGTGTCTTGCCTCGTGGAACCCACCTAAATTTCACTGGTCATTATGGGAACAACTGTTTACAAACTGGCACCAAAGTTTTGATTTTTATATTCCCTCACTGTCCATTTTCCCTTGGGTGTTTTTTTATTTTTTAAAAAAGATTGTAAGCCCATGGATAGTGATTGTCTTGTTTTGACTGTATGTAATCTGTTCTTCTTGGGAGAAAAGCAGTGACAAACCTAGACAGCATCTTAAAAAGCAGAGACATCACCTTGCCGACAAAGGTCCGTATAGTTAAAGCTATGGTTTTCCCAGTAGTGATGTATGGAAGTGAGAGCTGGACCATAAAGAAGGCTGGTCGCCAAAGAATTGATGCTTTTGAATTATGGTGCTGGAGGAGACTCTTGAGAGTCCCATGGACTGCAAGAAGATCAGACCTATCCATTCTGAAGGAAATCAGTCCTGAGTTCTCACTGGAAGGACAGATCGTGAAGCTGAGGCTCCAAGACTTTGGCCACCTCATGAGAAGAGATGACTCCCTGGAAAAGACCCTGATGTTGGGAAAGATGGAGGGCACAAGGAGAAGGGGACGACAGAGGACGAGATGGTTGGACAGTGTTCTCGAAGCTACCAGCATGAGTTTGACCAAACTGTGGGAGGCAGTGGAAGACAGGAGTGCCTGGCGTGCTCTGGTCCATGGGGTCACGAAGAGTCGGACATGACTAAATGATTAAACAACAACAACAACAATAATAATAATCTGTTCTGGGAGCCTTTTTTTATTGAAGAGCAGGGTACAAGTGGCTTGAGTCCAGTCAGGGAAAAAGGCCAGGGTATAAATAAATACCATAAATAAGAAAGAAATGCTCTAAATAAATAATAAATAAGTTTGGCCACATAAACAAGTTCTAGCCTTACTTGAAGGGAAGGAAATAGCAACAAATTTATTAACGGCAGCTTTTATTGAGGGGGTGCTTATCAGATCAGCAGATGACACCAAACTGGGATCGGTAGTCAATGCCGCAGAAGACAGAATGAGGATTCAAGATGACCTTAATAGATTGGAGACCTGGGCCCAAAATAACAAGGTGAATTTTAGTAGGGACAAACATAAGGGTCTACACGTAGGCAGGAAGAGCCCCAGAAGGAACATGACCTGTCCCCCACCTGAGATACTGCCCCATGGTTTTAGTTACATATATGTAGATTGAGTATAAGATGGAAGAGCTCACCTCATTAACACTCCATCAGGTCTTGTTCTCCCATTGGGTTTCAAGGGGGATCCCCAAAGCTACAGCTTTGGAACTGTCCCAGAGGGCCTCTGTGTTTTCCCTGCTCTAGATGAGACTGCCCCAAGTCTATTGTTCTCTTACACTCACTGATGACATCACCTCCAGCCAGGGGAGGGGGAGGGAAGGCTGGTCCCCTGAGCATCTGCAGCCAGTACTTTCTGTAGCAAGTAGTCACCTGTGCTTTTTAGACCTGCTCAGAAATGCTTCACAGCCATGAGCTTGACCAAGAGACTTGCTAGCTGCCTCCCTTTCTTTAGAATGTCACCTTAGAGATATAAAACCACAGGCATGGAAAGGACCCGAATATGACATCCAGGCTACCCCCGCCCCCTGGTCCTATGACTTTGTGTTCCTATGGATCCTTCAGTAACTCGTTCTCTGTGTGTGTATGTTCCTGGCGCTGCAGGACTCCAGATATTTCCCCACCGGATGAGGCAGGACAATGAAGGTAAGGCCTGCTCCGTATGGCCATACATTTGGGATAGGCACAGCGGTTGTAGATGAGCCCAAGGCACAATTTTGGACTAAAGCGTTGCGGGCAAACGAGAACAGCATAGGAGGCTGCCTTATACAGTGGTACCTTAGGTTAAGAACTTAATTCGTTCTGGAGGTCCGTTCTTAACCTGAAACTGTTCTTAACCTGAGGTACCACTTTAGTTAATGGGGCCTCCTGCTGCCGCCGCCACACAATTTCTTTTCTCATCCTGAGGTAAAGTTCTTAACCTGAAGTACTACTACTGGGTTAGTGGAGTCTGTAACCTGAAGCGGCTGTAACCTGAAGCGGCTGTAACCCGAGGTACCATTGTACTGGGATGGAGACTCAGTCTACGACATGATGATGCTCAGTCCGCTGCTCCCCCCCGCAACTGCCCCAATTTCTCTTCTTATATCTAAAGTTTGGGAATGTTTTAATGTTTGATGTTTAATATTCTGTTGAGAGCTGCCCAGAGTGGTGGGGAAACCCAGCCAGACGGGCGGGGTATAAATATTAAATCATTATTATTATTAAAGGAGCCATAAAAGACCGACAATCTTCATCACACCACCCCTCCTCTGCCCCCACTTCTTCCCCGACCTTATACTGAATATAACACTAATGTCTCATATCAAATGTAATCTGTAGAAAAGAATTTACAACCTGAAAAAAGCGACAATGCACGTACTTTTGTAAACCAAGAAAATCTTAATAAAAAATAATTTTTTAAAAAAGAGAAGACCAGCAGTCTAAAGACCAGCACCAGGATGAGAGAAAGCGGTGCTTTCAGTTTAGTTGTTGAATTTCCAGCAGCCCCAGCAAGCATGGCCCATGGTCAGAGATGATGGGAGTTGCAATATATGTTTTTAATGTACATATTGACACCTGCCACCCCAATCTCCATGAGTGGTGCAATATTTTAGGGGTTGCAGGCATGGTCACCCGGGTCTGTGTTTACTTTGGGGACAATGAGCCCCAACAAAGACTGGTGTCTTTATGATATATGGTTTATTTGCACCTATATACAACTTGCACCTAAATGGAGGGATTATGGAGCATTCACATCCTATCAGGATTGGATTCAAAGGGCAGCAAAAATCCCTCCTCTGCCTCTCTTTGTTTCAGCCTGTCGTCCCCAGCTTACTTGGACTTCTGCCCCTCATTCTGCTTCTCTCTGTGAACCTCCTTCCAGCCTACGACATTCAAAGCTGTAAACCTAAACCTTGCCTTTGCCTCTGCCCACTAACACTCAGTCCCCTTGGCCTGGCACTCTTGCCCTATAATGGTTTCCTAGTTGGGCCATCGCTGGCCTTTGTCCCCTGCTAATGGCCCGTCCAGCAAGCTCTGCACAGAGGTGGCTTGGCTTACTAGCCTAACTAAATCCAGGTGGGTTCCATGTTTGGCAAAGTTTAATCAAACCTTGATTAATTCTAACTTTGAATAAAGCATAACACATTTTGGGGGATCTAGCTCCCCCCAACTCATAACGATACAGTGGTACCTCTGGTTGTGAACAGGATCCGTTCCAGAGGCCCGTTCGCAACATGAAAAGAGCGCAACCTGAAGCGCCGTATCTGTGCAGGTGCGCAGTGCGATTTGGCGCTTGTGCGCATGCGCAAAGCACGATTTAGCGCTTCTGCACATGTGGGAGCGGCGAAAGCCGGAAGTAACCCTTTCTGGTACTTCTGGGTTGCTGCGGGACATAACCTGAAAGAACGTAACATGAAGCAAATGTAACATGAGGTATGACTGTATTGTCTCACCCCAACAATACCAATTTCATAGGTTATCAGGATGACGGAGAACAAGGATCAACGCTGTCTCAGAGACAAGATCTGTATGGTAAATGCAAATTATTTGTTATATATGACTACGGACCTGTATCTCAACCATAGGGAACCTTTCGCCCTCCAGATGTTGTTGGATGACAACTCCCATCTGGCCCTGCAAGTATGCCCGGTGGCAAAGGATGATGGGAGTTGTAGTTCAGCAACATCTGGCGTGCCAAACATTCCCACGCCTCCTGTGTATCATAGTAGAGAAAGCATGTACCCATGTGCGCACTCACCATACACGTGTCATGAGATATTCTGGGAACAAGGCTTGCATGGTAAATATTAGCTACACTGCACCCTTGCCTCCAGGACTGGCCCTATATTTAGGCAGAGTGGGAGGGGGGCATGTCTGGCACCAGATGCTCATCAGGAGAAGGGGGGGCAGGCAGTGACGGATCAGAGGGCAGATCTCTGCATGCTATGCAGCCTGCTTTGCACCTTCTGCATTGGCCTGTGTGGGAATGTTGTCGATAGTAGGAGAGGATATATTGATTACCGTACTTTTCCGTCTATAAGATGCCCCCATGTATTAGAAGCCCCCTATTTTGGGGGACTCTAATTTAAGAAAATGGGGGGAGATGGCACAGAGTTGTTGAGCTTTTATTGGGGGGGTTGTCAAAAATCGCTTACCCGCACGCATTGCAAAATCCGCCTCCCGTCTGTCACATCGCGGGCAGAAGCTGCCAATTGCCCGCCCAACTGCCAGAGCGCCAGCCAATCAACACCACCCATTGAAACATCAACCAATACCACACACAATAGCCGCTGACAGCTGCAGCAGCAACCAATCAAACGTCCACCCTATGCACTACCCAAGTGTAAGATGGCCCCAAATTTTTAGCATGATTTTTAAAGAAAAAAACAGTCTTATACAAGGAAAAGTACGGTAAATATTGTCCTTCCTCACGCTAGTGAGCTGGTCACAGAGTGCATTCCTCTGTGTATTTCAGGAAGCTAGTTGGTAGATTCGTTCAAATTTCTTGAGTTAAGCAATCCAGTCTGGCTTGTCCAGATCATGTTATTCCTGGTGAATTGCCCTTTATTCCCTCTTAAAACAATAAGGACACAACTGACTTCTTTAAAAGTAATGATAAGAAGTTTACTTACATTCAGTTCACAGTATGATCCTGAAGGCAGACTTTAGCTTGTAGTTACAGAAGAGAGTGTGAGTCCATCCCATATGGCGACTGAGCCCATGTGCGGCTGGCTGAGAGCCAGCAGACAGCAAAAGCACCAAGAGAACAGCACCAAGAGAAGAAATGGCAAAAAGAGAGCAACAAGAGAGTCAAGAGAAGAGGGCTGCGTGACTAGCCCCTTTAAAGGGTCTGCCAGGGTCAAGCCCATCTACCTGGTCACATGCAGGGGGAGGATGCTCCAGACCAGGTGTGACAGGAAGTCCTTCTGCCTGGAGTAACATCCCCCCTGTGTGTCCACTCTGGGCAAACAGGAAATGTCGTACTTGACTGCTACAGTGATGTAATATCCCACAGCCTGCTCTCCTCAGGTGTGGTGTCCCATCACCTGTGTTTAGCTTTTGTAAATGGAATGAGATGGGCGGGGTATGTAGAAAGAAAGAAAGAAAGAAAGAAAGAAAGAAAGAAAGAAAGAGTGTGGCGTGTGGGTGGGTCAGCCGGTACACTTGTCCATCATCTGAACCAGCCCGTGTGCAAAACCAGAGGCTTTAGTGTAAAGAGGACTTCCCTAAGGAGGTACCAACTGTTCCAGTGGGAGGTGCATGTGACGTTAACATATGAGAGTGCTGGAGGTGAAATAGTTAAACAAGTTACCCAATCAGAACCCAGGGGGGTGGAGTCAGAGGGACTATAAAACCAGCTCTGGGAGGGACAAAAGGGAGTTCATTGGGAGTTGGGTGGTTGGTTGGAGTGGGAGTGAATTGGGATAGAGTCTGTGGGTAGGTTGAGTTAGGGTAGCGAAATAAGCTGAGTCAGGAAGAGTTAGGGGCTGGGAAGACAAGTAAATATCTGAGAGGTGGTTTAGTGAGTGAGAGCAGGTAGCGGAAGTTATAGGTCTGGATAGGCACCCCATGATTGTAATTGACCGATACCGTTTATGAAACCACACGCTTGTTAAACTGCAATAAATAAACAAAAGTTTATGTTCCAGTTTAACCCTGACTGGACTCAGTATTGTACCAGGTAGGGCCTGGGTGGTGGCAGTGAGAAATAAAGTGGTGGCACAGGGATCAATAAACGGTGAAACGTCCGGGGACCCTGTGTGATCGCCACAGTGCAAAGCTTGCTATTCCCTTCACAATATTTGTCAACTACGGTCCAAGAAATAGAATCAACTGAAATTGTCTTGTGTGACGGCAGATCAAAATCTGCTCCAGCGCTGTCCCACTGGTTCTCTTTCTCCATGGTCATGTAAGTAGAGTAAATGTGTAGGTGCAGTACCTCCACTCTGGGTTTTACTTGGGGAGTAGAAAATGCCTGATATCTGTGGCCGTTTTAATTTGCTGCAGTTTGGCCATTTCAGTCCCATTGTAGGTCCTCTTCCATTTCTCCTCTTGCCTTTTTCTGCTGGACTTGCGCTGGTTCTAGAATGACTTTTCCATGTTTGTTCCCAGATTACCCATGGGATAAATCCAGCCTGAAGTCAATACCAATGGACTTGACGCAGTTTAAGGAACTGGATGACCATGCATCAACGGTATACTGTCTCTTATGGCAATATAACCCACACAGAATAATAGTCCTGTAAAGAATATTTTAGGATGCTGAGAGTTTTGTTTTTTAATGTGGATTTGGAATTGGAACCTAAGGGTCCATTCCAACTCTACAATTCTATGGTTCTATGACAGTACCTTCAAGTGTCCTCTCCTTATAGGAGGCAACTTCTTCTGTCCACATGGAAGTTCACAGTGGGAAACATTATGATTCAAAATCCACCCCAAGCCTGAAACAAAGGGGATTTGGCTCACAGCTGAAGATTGTGGAAATAGCATGCCTGTGTAAAGAGAAAAGAAAGGTTAAGCATGCTTCATCCTTCAGAACAATTTTACTCGGGGATAAAATTTGATAGATTGATCAACTAGGATGCATACACTTACTCAGCTAACTGTGTATTCCTGAGCAGTTTTACGCAGAAGTAAGCTCCATTGAGTTCTGCAAGACTCTTTTTAGTGCATGTAGGATGGCAGGCACCCTAAGTTTTCTTTAGACAGCAGAAAGGAACTGGGTACTGCTCCTCCATGTTATCTTCTACAGTATTTACCTTTCCTGAAACAGGTGAATGTCAAGAACAACGTGAAAAAACTGGTGAATGTCTTGCTCCAAAAAGCCCACAGTGACCTGGAGAAAGTCCGAGCCATTTGGATGTGGACATGCCATCATATAGGTAGGTGGGGGGGGGTGACCTTTCTGTGTGCGAAGCCGGAAGCGATCCCTCCAGACAACAGAACAACTCTCCTAGTGGTGTTATAGGAAAGCTCCTTTATATAGCATTGGATTAAAGCAGAACCTTTGAAGGTGATTAACTGTTGTTTTGTGAATGAAATAAGATACCCCTAATTGAATTGATTTGTTATTCGGATCTTCTGCTAAAAGTTTCTGAAGTAAGTGAGGTTGCTGCAGTCCTTTATTCGTTGTGCATTGCAGACTTTGAGGTGACTGTCCATAAATGTCTTTATTCCTCCAGAATACGATGTGGAAGGATACCATAACAAGGTGCCTTCTGAGGCAACTGATGCCCTTCAGTCGGGAAAAAGCGCTTGTGGGGGATATGCTGGCCTCTTTGAAGAAATGTGCAGGTAATTCCTATTGGGCCCCAGAGAGCTGGAGAGCCACACGTCCCCCACACCTGCTCTATACAGGCGACTTTCAACATATCATTATGGAGACAAACTTGAGTCCCGCTACAGTCACTGGAAATCCTGCTTGGCCCCTCCCCACCATGCTTCCTTCAACAAACACTTCTTGTACCTTTTAAAGCCCTTCTGTGCTGCCTTGAAAGCTTGTACTAGATTCCAGTCTCTCTCTCTCTTCAGCCTGCAAGCTAAGATTCTGAGGCTGTCCGATTAATAATAATAATAATAATACCCCGCCCATCAATATTTATACCCCGCCCATCTGGCTGTGCTTCCCCAGCCACTCTGGGCAGCTTCCAACACAATATTAAAATACAATAGTCTATTAAACATTAAAAGCTTCCCTGAACAGGGCTGCATTCAGATGTCTTCTAAAAGTCTGGTAGTTGTTGTTCTCTTTGACATCTGATGGGAGGGTGTTCCACAGGGCGGGTGCCACTACCAAGAAGGCCATCTGCCTGGTTCCCTGTAACTTGGCTTCTCGCAGGGAGGGAACCGCCAGAAGGCCCTTGGAGCTGGACCTCAGTGTCCAGGCTGAGCGATGGGGGTGGAGACGCTCCTTCGGGTATACTGGACCGAGGCCGTTTAGGGCTTTAAAGGTCAGCACCAACACTTTGAATTGTGCTCGGAAACGTACTGGGAGCCAGTGTAGGACTTTCAAAACCAGTGTTATGTGGTCTTGGCGGCCACTCCCAGTCACCAGTCTAGCTCCCGCATTCTGGATTATTTGTAGTTTCCTGGTCACATTCAAAGGTAGCCCCACGTAGAGCGCATTGCAGTAGTCCAAGCGGGAGATAACTAGAGCATGCACCACGCTGGCAAGACAGTCCGCGGGCAGGTAGAGTCTCAGCTTGTGTACCAGATGGAGCTGATAAACAGCTGCCCTGGACATAGAATTGACCTGTGCCTCCATGGACAGCTGTGAGTCCAGAATGACTCCCAGGCTGCACATCTGGTCCTTCAGGGGCACAGTTACCCCATTCAGGACCAGGGAGTCCTCCACACCTGCCTGTCTCCTGTCCCCCAAAAACAATTGGCTCCTAACAAAAATTTTTGTACCAGTGCAACATACAAAACTGTCATGCAGGACTGGGGGATCTTGGGCCTTCCAGATGTTGTTCAGCTACATCTCCCATCAGCCTTAGCAAGCTTGGCCAACCACCAGGAATGATGGGAGTTGTCGTTCAGCAACATCTGGAGGACCAAAGATTCCCCAAACCTGTAATATGCAGTTAAATGAGGCAGCCTGGCATTTCTTCAGAATAAAGTCCACAGGTGGCATTTAGCATACTTCTGTTTCCTCCATCAAAATCCCAAATTGCACATCCTTAAGGGGCAAGATTGGACAATATAGGAAAAAGCCTAAAATGCCAGATGTGGTTTGGCTTCTCCCTGAAAACAGAGCAAAATGAAGGATGCCCATTCTAATTAAAAAAAAAAGCATTGATTGCAACCACAGTGCCTTGTTCACAATGGGGTTCTTGAATCCCTTTCTTTCCCCCTCAGTCTTGCAGGGATACAATGCAAGCAGTTGTCCGGCTTTGCCAAAGGGTTCCAATACAAACCAGGAAAAGTATTTGAGGGGAAGACTAATCATGTCTGGAACGCTGTTTATCTTGAGGGAAGGTGGCATCTTTTAGACAACACGTGGGGCAGCGGCTGTGTGGATGACTCTTGTAGCAAGTTCACTTTCAGGTATGTTGTTAGGTGACAGAAAGCCCAGTCAGAGTGTGGGATACAACGAGGGTATAGTGAACTTCCTTCGTTTTCAGATTTTTGTTTGGTTCGCTTGGACCAAAAGTCAGAATTGGTGATTTGATAGCCACAGGGCATCAGCATGGAGTGTTGTGGTAGTGGTGGGACAATTACCGTAATAGGTTCTAGAGCAGCCGTTCTCAACCTGTGGGTCCCCAGATGTTGTTGGACTACAACTCTCATCATCCCTGAGCTCTGGCCTTGCTAGCTAGGGGTAATGGGAGTTGTAGTTCAACAACATCTGGGGACCGACAGGTTAAGGAAGGCTGTTCTAGAGTATTATGCTTATCCTACATGTGTAGGATTTGGGGATCCTGGAGTTTGGATCATTGCAACACAGCAGCCTTTCTCTACCAGGTGCCCTCCAACGGTTTTAGACTACCACTCCCATCATCACTAACTATTGGGTCTCAGGCTTCAGGGACTCAGCTTCCTCCCACCCTCCCACCCTTTGGCAGCAGATAAGCAAAACAAAGCGAAAGGAGTCTCTTACCAGATTTTTAATGATTGTAGCCAGAGAACAAAGAATCCATTTCTAGGAACGGAGGTGCTCCCAGTTAAGGGTTCCACACACTTCCTCCCTAGTCACCCACTTCTGCATCTTGCAACCAGATCTCACGACCACTGTGCTTTCTGTGCTGCCACCTTATCTGCTCTCCTTGACCTTGGGCTGAGTGGATGGATGCTTTCCAGCGAAATGGAGCCTGTTCACTCTCTCTCCCAGTTCTTCTCCTCCTAGCTGTTCACCATCCAGTTCTTCCCAACTTCGGTCTTCTGAACTATGTCCCTCTGCAAACCACTGTTCCAAATCTATACTGCTCCACTGCTCCTGGGAAGATTCAGGATCCTGAGCAGGAGCAGGGGGCGGGGGAGGCTGCCTCCATTCCTCTCAGTGCAGCCCTCCTCAGCACGGTCCCTGACATTGGGCCACATTGGCAGTGGTTGATGGGTCATAGAGTTCAGCCAAACCTGGAGGGAATCAGACTGGGGAAGGCTGGATGAGTGGGTCACCCAGTTCCTAAACTGTGGCTAGTGTTAACTATGGACGCGCTTGTCAAATAAAGCATTGTTGTCATTAAGCACAGATGTGGGTGAGAAAACAGGCTGTGGTTAATCTAATCAAGGATCTGGTTTCCAAACTGTTCACATGTGTGGCTGTGGGGGAGGGAGGCTTGCTATGTTTCATTCCCAACATGCTAAGCTATGGTTTCACTTGACATCTGAAAGAAGGCCTAGAAGGATTCCACGCTCATTTCTAGATAGCTTTCTCTGTTTGACCCTGGTGCTGAGATTTCATGAAATTCTGCCTTCTCCTTCTGCAGGTACAATGAGTTTTACTTCCTTACCCATCCTGCTCTGTTTATTAACGATCACTTCCCAGAAGACCACAGCTGGCAGCTTCTGAAACAGACATTATCGCTGCAGCAGTTTGAACGTAATGTGTGGTATAAGTCTGCCTTTTATTCAGTAGGACTGACAGGCACATCCACGGCAACGTCAGTCATCGAAACAGGTAAAGTCAATCAGAAGCATCTGTCTTGTTGCTTTTGGCTGTCACACTTACGCTGACAATGAGTCTCATGTCCTTTTAAGATGCTACTGCGCTGTAAAGCAGGGATGGGAACCTGAGGTTGCTAGACTACAACCCCCATCATCCCTGACAATTGGTCGTGCTAGTTGGGAGTCTCACAACAGCAAGAGGGCGATACAGGTTCCTCACCCCTAATTGAGCAGAACCAGAACTCAGTGGGTCTTCCAAGGTGTGAAGGAGGCTCAGGAAATCTGTTATCTTTCTCGGAATTGTTAGGTACAGGTGATTGTGAGGCAGCTGGATTGTCCTTGCTCTATTTTGATTATCACTGATTATTACTCCTGGCAAACAAGGCCATTCTGTGGCCTTCATGGAGTTGTGAGGTTAATTAAAACTAACAATCAAGATGAAGTAAAGCCTGAGGGGAGAAACAACCTACAGGTGGTTATTCAAGGACGAGTCAGTGAGGAAAGAACAGACTGCCTGTTTCCCATCTACCAATCTATTAACCATCATTAATTTCAATGCATGGGACAAGGGTGGCGCTGTGGGTTAAACCACAGAGCCTAGGACTTGCCGATCAGAAGGTCGGCGGTTCGAATCCCCGCGACAGGGTGAGCTCCCGTTGCTCGGTCCCTGTACGCCGGCTCCCTCGGCCAATAAATTACCTTTAATTTCAATCTTATATATGGGTGTAACCCTATTTCTCAAGGCAAGGTGGCAGAAAATCCATAGGGGGAAATCCATTCATGGGGATTTAAAATAAAAATATTAACAAGTACAGAAAAGCCATTATTTTTTGCCCCTTACAAATTTTTTTACTGAATTCCTGTTGCATACAAAATCATGTCAACATCAAAAAACCTTTGCTTTTCTTTCACAGAAAATGGCAAGGCAACTGTTTTCATTGAGAGTCATTCTCCGACGCTCTTCCTCTGCAAGCTCAACGGGGCAAACGAACACTGCTTCATGAACCTGCAGAGGAACGGGATGACCCTGGAAGTGTATCCTCAGGAGGTGGGAACTCATAGCTTGGACATCTTTGCCAAACCTTCCAGGAGCAAGGAGGAGAACTACAGCCACGTGGTGGAATACTCCCTGGTGTGCCAATCTGTGGACAAGAGCTTCTGCTTGCCCAAACCGCTCATCCAGCCTGTGGGGCCCAGCTGGCAATCGGAGGAGAAGGGGATCCTGGGAGCCTCGCCCGCCAGTCCGATTGTCCACACTGATGACGGACGCTGCGTTGTCACCTTCACTCGAAGTAGAGACCTGGATCTCTTTGCCACCCTGGACTCTGAGGCCAGCAGCACGTCGGAGGACTTGCGGAGGCGTCACATCTGGACCACTCGCCAAGATGCCCATGTTGAGTTGAAGATACAGCTCCCTCACGCAGGGACCTTTGCTCTTCACATCTGGGCAAAGAAAGCATCCGATCCAGGCAACAGTCACTGCGCCCTCAGCTACCTCCTCTCCTGCCCAAACAAGAGTGTGTTGTGGCCGGTTTTTCCACAGAGTTATACCAACTGGGAGGATGCCTTTGAGCTGGTGGCACCAGTTGCCGGGGTCTTGCCGGCCAACCGCGATGTGACATTTAAGCTCAAACTGCCTGGCGTAGATGAGGTGTCTGTCGAATGCGGAAATTCTCGCCGACTGACTCTTAGCGAAGACGGTTTCTGGGAGGGAACCTGCAGCATCTCAGGTGGCCCCAGGGTGACAGTGATGATATCAAAAAATGGCAGCCACTCCTTCTGGGCCCTGCTGGACTACAAAGTGGAAAGTCACTAGCTAGGAGAGGAGAAAATTCAACTATGTAAAAAGATCTACGCTTACCGGAAGAGAGGGAAACGGTAATCCATCATTAACCACAGCTTGTATGTTAACCAGGTATAACCGGGAGAAATACTAGCAGTCGGATACTGGAGTATCTGATATTACGAGACTAAGGGCATGGGGAAGTGGTCCGAACAATAACCCTGACTATAATTAAAGTAAGGGAAGGCAGACTTCTTAATAGTTGTTTTCTTTAAAGATGGAGTCTATTGTTATTGGTGTAACCAAAAGCAAGAAAATTTGGAACCACTTACATTTTGAGAATGCTGTAAATTGGATTCGTCTATATACACATACCTGATGGCAAGCTTATAACTTTGGCTGGTTGCTACCCTTAAAAAAAAGTTCAATAACACCTCTTTTTCTAAGAAAAAAAGGCCTGGTTCCATCACAATTTAAACATAAAATATAGAGGGGGAAATGAGCAAGTAAATGGACCACATTCTGAACCAGGACTTCTTGCTCATGTTGAATGGACCACTCCAAAGTGTAATCTAAGGTGCTTATATGATGTGTGCCTATATAATGCCTTCACCATTAATATAAAAACATGCTTCCTGTAACTTAAGGTTTCCCATGGTGGTGGTGGTGGACTTACATATTTAACATTACAGTGGACAACATGAGAAGTCCGCTCTATTGCGAGGCCTTATTGGAGCAGAGTATAAAAACACTCCCCTCAAACAACAGTCATCTTACACGTGGACTCGGACGTTGCACTTCCACAAATAAATGCAGCAGCAGCTACTTTGGAGCATTAGCCATACAGGTGCATTTACCTGTGCTTCATTTGAAACTGTAAAACCTGATCTCAAAAAAAGAGGGTGGGTGGACCTGCTAGTTCATAGAATCATTTGTAACCAGGGACCCCTGGTGGCAAAAGAAAGTGAAACCACTTAACTCAGTTCACTTGCCTTCTGTTCTGACATAGGAAATGACACAGAATAATAGAATTGCAGAGTTCGAAGGGACCCTGCGGGTCATCTGGCATTGCAGGAATCTCAACTAAAGCAACCCTCATGGGGCCATCATGCAATTTATGGGGGAGGGCAGGCTTTATGTTAGTGGGCGCAGAACCTCAGCTTTTGTATTGATTTACTTGATTTGGAGGGGGGCAGCTGCCCCCTTACCCCCATTTGGTTCGGGTCCTAGCCTCCAGAGCAGCAGAAAACAAGCTTGCTCCATCGTCCACGTGACAGCCCTTTAGAAATCTGAAGATGGCTATCATATCTCCTTTCAGTCTCTTTTCCAAGCTAAACATACGCAGCTCCTTTAACCGTTCGACACAAGGCTTGGTTTCCAGACCCTTGATCTTATCTGTTGCCCTCTTCTGGGCACACTCCAACTTGTTGACATCCTTCTTAAATTGTGGAGCCCAGAATTGGAGGGCTCCGTATTCCAGGGCTGCTCTGACCAAGGCAGAATAGTACTATCACTTTCCTCATTCTGGACACTAGGCTTCTGTTGATACAGCCTAGACTAGCGATAGCTTTTTGTGGTTGGTGGTGGGTGTGAACAGGGCCAGATTTAGGTTTGATGAAGCCCTGAGCTACTGAAGGTAATGGGGCCCTTTATATGTCCAGCTGCCCTTTGTCAACAACAAATTGTCGCTGTTTTTTGTGTTGAATATATGCTATATGGTAATTTATGGACCTGATAGGTATCTAAAGCCTTTTGCACATATTGCCATGCACCCAGTCCATGCAGAATGTAGGCACCCTATACAGTGGTACCTCGGGATGCGAACGGGATCCTTTCCGGAGCCCCGTTCACATCCTGAACAGAATGTAAGAAGCGACAGCACATCTGCGCGTGCGCGGGTCACGTTTCGCCGCTTCCGTGCATGCGTGTGATGTCATTTTTGACATCGTGCGCATGCACGAGCGGCGAAACCCAGAAGTAACGCACTCCGTTACTTCCGGGTCGCCGCGGAGCGCAACCCGAAAGTGCTCAACCTGAAGCGTATTTATCCCGAGGTATGACTGTATATGGATGCGGGTGACGCTGTGGGTTAAACCACAGAGCCTAGGACTTGCCGATCAGAAGGTTGGCGGTTCGAATCCCTGCGACGCGGTGAGCTCCTGTTGCTCGGTCCCTGCTGCTGCCAACCTAGCAGTTCAAAAGCACATCAAAGTGCAAGTAGATAAATAGGTACCGCTCCGGCGGGAAGGTAACTGGTGTTTCCGTGCACTGCTCTGGTTCGCCAGAAGCGGCTTAGTCATCCTGGCCACAAGGCCCGGAAGCTGTACGCCGGCTCCCTCGGCCTATAGAGCGAGATGAGCGCTGCAACCCCAGAGTCGGCCACAACTGGACCAAACGGTCAGGGGTCCCTTTACCTTTACCTATGACTGTATATAGAAATGAGCAAACCAGTGATATTTTAGGGAGCCGGCTAGCAGGCGGGGCCCATGACTTACATCATAGGAGCCTACAAAACACTGTTGCTGTATGTACGTTTTATTTTATTTGTTTTTCATCTTGTATTTTGAAAATGTACACCCCGTTTTTTATCCTTACATTTTTTTGGGGGGGGGACCCCCAAGAGAGTGGGGCCCTAAGCTACAGCTTGTTCAGCTTCTACGTATGAACATGCCCTTCCGAGGAACACCTCGTACAGCGCGGCTGCAGCGATCGCGACTTCGCCCTGCAGGCAGAATCCTACCCATCCCTGACTGCGGTGCTTGCTTGCTTTTTTTAGCAGCCCGCCTCTCCGCCATCCCTGCCGCCTCCTGCCGGTGGCACCCTTCCCAGCTGTGGCTCCGACCAGCCTCTTCCTGTTTCCCTCGCCAAAGGATGCGACGTCGGCGCAGCGACCCGGGAGGCGTCGCGCTGCTCGGCCGGCAGCTGGCGAGGGGGACCCAGGCATCCTCCTAAGCCTCTTCTCGCTGGGCTGCTTCCCTCCTCCTCCGCTTTGCCTCGACGTGGAGCGCCGCGGGAGCAGCTGCCAGGCGGAGCCCAGTCGCTCCTTTGCCCGAAGCGCTTTCGTGTGCCGTCCGAGCCAGCAGCCATGGCCGCCGCTGCAGCCGGGATCCTGGCCGGGACCCATCCGAGTGGGTTGATCTCCCGGGGGACTTTGGGGGAAAGGCAGCGATGGGGAGCGAGAGATTGATGGGCACGCAGCCAGGACTGAAGGGAGGGGTCAGGAAAGGACCCAAAAAAACGCGACCCCAAACTTGTGTTCCCAGCTGGTTTTGGACTACATTTCCCATCATCCCTGAACCAGTGGTCCTGCTAGCTAGGGATGATGGGAGTTGTGGTCCAAAACCAGCTGGAGAGCCCAGTTTGGGAAACCCTGTTCTAGAGCCAAGGGGGTCCCTTCTGATGTTACTGAACTACAACTCCCATCATCCCTTGCCACTGGCTGTGCTGGCTAAGGGGAACTGGGGTCCAACAGCACCAGTGGTTCCCCATCCTCCTTGTGTAAGTGGGGCAGCCAGCTCTCAAACTGAACTGACGGTTTCACTCTGGGTACAGCAGTTCTTCCCTGTAATCTAGGGTTTCTCAAAGTTTTTGAACTTCTTCCCAGCTTTTAACCTCCTTCTCCTTCCTGGTCATCATCAACCACAGATTAATTTCCACAAAAGACACAGTGAAGATTCCCTCTGCTGCCGCCCCCAAGTTGTGTGTGAGCAGAACCTGGGATTTGTATGTTATGTTATTGCTTATTTGTACGTAGCAGCCTTGCCAATGGCCTCTAAGCAGGGTTGCAAAAATATCAGAATGAGAAACAGACACAGTAATAAAATGAAGCCACACAAGAATACAAGTGGATGGAAATATCTGGCGACAGCATCCTTCCGCCCCACCCCGCGCTCCAAATTGCAGCCTTCTCTCTGTTGCTTTACTGACTGGGAAGGAAGCTATGATGTTCACCTGGCTCCCTTTTCTCTGAGCATGGGTGGAACCAGTGGCTAAATCCCACTAGGACTTGTGAATGTGGCCTCAGTGGATAATAATATAATAATAATAATTTATTATTTATACCCCTCCCATCTGGCTGGGTTTCCCCAGCCCCTCTGGGTGGCTTCCAACAGAATATTAAAATACAATAGTCTATTAAACATTAAAAGCTTCCCTAAACAGGGCTGCCTTCAGATGTCTTCTAAAAGTCGGGTAGTTGTTTTTCTCTTTGACATCTGGTGGGAGGGCGTTCCACAGGGCAGGTGCCACTACCGAGAAGGCCCTCTGCCGGGTTCCCTGTAACTTGGCTTCTCGCAGTGAGGGAATTGCCAGAAGGCCCTCAGTGCTGGACCTCAGTGTCCAGGCAGAACGATGGGGGTGGAGACGCTCCTTCAGGTATATTGGACTGAGGCCGTTTAGGGCTTTAAAGGTCAGCACCAACACTTTGAATTGTGCTCGGAAACATACTGGGAGCCAACGTAGGTCTTCCAAGACCAGTGTTATGTGGTCTCAGCGGCCACCCCCAGTCACCAGTCTAGCTGCTGCATTCTGGATTAGTTGTAGTTTTCGGGTCATCTTCAAAGGTAGCCCCACGTAGAGCGCATTGCCGTAGTCCAAGCAGGAGATAACTAGAGCATGCACCACTCTGGTGAGACAGTCTGCGGGCAGGTAGGGTCTCAGCCTGCGTACCAGATGGAGCTGGTAGACAGCTGCCTTCAGGTATACTGGACTGAGGCCATTTAGGGCTTTAAAGGTCAGCACCAGCACTTTGAATTGTGCTCGGAAACATACTGAGAGCCAATGTAGGTCTTTCAAGACTGGTGTTATGTGGTCTTGGCGGTTGTGAATGAGTTGCATGTGGGAGCCAGTGTGAGAGTGGAGCCAGAAGCTCCAGTGAGAAAATGCGCCAGCAACACGGATGCTTCTGATCTCTCCTTCAGGTTGAACTGCAGAAGCGCCTGGTTTCTCTAATGCAGCAGAGGGAAGTGGCAAAAGCGGATGAGAAGAAAATCAAGGAGCTGCTGGCAAGTCTCCAGAGCCACCTGGCTTCCCTTTCCCCCACCCAGCCTCTTGTTGTTAGAACATTTATTTTTATTTATTTTATTTGTCCAATTTGTGTACCACCCTTCTTTTTTGGGGAAATTATTTTTATTTGATTTTACAAATTCATTCACATTCAAAATCACAAATAATAAAAATTACACAAGATTCTTCCGAATCTCAAGACTTGCCCCCCTTCCCTCCATGGGCTCTTCAGTTAACTTTTTCAACTGCCGCCGGAGCACGATTTCTGTTCTCATCCTGAAGCAAAGTTCTTAACCCGAGGTACTATTTCTGGGTTAGCGGAGTCTGTAATCTGAAGCGTATGTAACCTGAAGTGTATGTAACCCGAGGTACCACTGTAAAAGCATAATAAAACATCAAACATTGACAACTTCCCTTCACAGGGCTGCCTTCAGAGGGTTCCACAGGGTGGGTGCCACTACCGAGAAGGCCCTCTGCCTGTACAACCACTTAGGGTAGCCTGAATGGTTAGAGCGTGGCGCTGATAACACCAAGGTTGCAGGTTCAATTCCCGTTTGGGACAGCTGCATTGCAGAGGGTTGGAATAGAGGGCCCCTTCCAGCTCGATGATTCTACAACTCCTGCTCTTGGAGGTACATGGGGACAGCTTAAGCTGAAAAACTATTTTCGTTTGGACTGCGTGGGGGTATTTAAAAAAATAATAATAATTGGGAGGAGTGGCTTGGTAGGTTTGCAAGCTGCTGGGAACTGGTGCCTCTGCAGAGTGGGCAATAGGAGGAGGGAAACCCCCCCCCCCCATATACACACTAATTGTGGATACTAGTGCCTGTGAGGGCTGGTAAGGCAGATGGCTGGAGCTGAACAGTAGGTGGCGCCAGAGCCAGTGTCCAGCAGAGCCAACGACTTGTGTCCCCATCCTCCTCCCTGCTGATTTCTTCAAGGGGGAAACAGGCTCAGGAGGAGGGAACTGACAGGCAGTTCTACCACCTGGGCTAGCTATCAGGAAGACAAGCAGAGCTGGAGAAATCAAGACTGCTGTTGGCAGAGCAGTCTGATCGCATCTGAGCGGCAGCGCCATACAAAAGTGTTTGCCTTGCTGTCTGCATAAGACTCTTGTCTGCTTCTCCCAATAACGTTTTGAAAAATAATAATGGTTAGTCCATACAGTGGTACCTCGGGTTAAGAACTTAATTCGTTCTGGAGGTCCGTTCTTAACCTGAAACTGTACTTAACCTGAAGCACCACTTTAGCTAATGGGGCCTCCCGCTGCTGCCACCGCGCCTCTGCTGCACAATTTCTGTTCTCATCCTGGGGCAAAGTTCGTAACCCGAGGTACTATTTCTGGGTTAGCGGAGTCTGTAACCTGAAGCGTCTGTAACCCAAGGTACCACTGTACAGGGATGGAGGAATCTGGTTGTGTTTAGAATAATCTTGTGCGTAATATAAAAAATACAAAGTGAGACATTAAGGAAATCCAAAGGGAAAATATGAAGAACAAAGGATCTGACGAACGGATTATTAAAAACGCGTGAGGCAAACGGTGGAAGTCTTTTTTAAAAAACCAACACTTTATTTAAGGTAGATAAGGACAAGATGAAATTATACAATTGAATATAGATGGGAAACGGCTATGTATAGTGAATACTTAACTAAATTTTCACCTATAATCTTTTTCTTTTACCTCTTATTTTTCTTTGTTCTTTTTTTCTTTTTTCTGATACCTTATCTTTCATTTCACTCCTTTATTGTGAATAGCGTTTTATAGAGATTTAAATAACTGTAAATATGGAAAGAGACAAAGTATTCTCTATTTTTTTCCCTTGGTTATATGTATTTTCTTTTTCTTTTGTAGTAAATATGTATGTTTTCTAATTTGTACTTAATAAAAATTTGAAAAAAACAACAACAAAAAACCTGAAGCGTCTGTAAACCGAGGTACCACTGTATTTGGATTTGTGTTCCTTTTGCCCCGGGCCTCTTGCAGGGGCCTCTTGCAGCAACATCAAGGTGTCTCTGTGCATGCATGCATGGGCTTCTTCCCTCCCTCTTGTCTTTGATGCTCCCCAGGGAGAGGATGCACAGAGAGGCAGGTGCACAAAGAATCTCAGGAGCTGCAAAAAAAGTTCTGCCGGAAAGGTGGTATATACCGTAAATCTCTTAACAGAACACATTTCAAAAGCCACCTTCTGGCTGCTTTCTGCTCACACGGAAAATTGGAGGCGCATTTTCCTCTTGCGTGTATATTGGTCGGTAGAGCATGAGACACTTAATCTCAAGGTTGTGGGTTCAAACCCCACGTAGGGCAAAAATGTTCCTGCATTTCAGGGGGTTGGACTAGATGACCCCCGGGGTCCCTTCCAGCTCTAGAATTCTACGATTCTAACCCTCATTTCATGTCTGGAGCAGGACACGTTGCTGATTTGGCTTGCAGAGCTACAATTTCCAGAGTGGGAATACAAGAAAGAATGATCTTGTGATTTCTGGATTTTAAGATTGAAAGAATACTGGTTTATAGAATATAGTAGTAGTAGTAGTAGTAGTAATAGTAGTAGTAGTAGTAGAATGCTTGGACCTTAAGGGATGACTATCATGTAGCTGCAGGACAGAGAGTCTGAATTCCTTTTATTTTACCTTCTTTATCTTTCTTTCTTTCTTTCTTTCTTTCTTTCTTTCTTTCTTTCTTTCTTTTCCTTTCCTCTCACTTTTTCTTCTGGTTTCTCCTTTCCTTTCCTTCCTTCTGACTTTGTTCTCTTTTAGACTAAGTAGCTGTTTTATCTCAGTATATTATAAAAAATATACTTTGTAATGAGTATGTATCTTTTGTATATCTTTGAATAAGTATCAATTTATTTATTAAAGCAAGCTTGCGTGTTTGGGAAACGGATGTAGCTCAGATAGCGAACATTTGCTCTGCATGCCGAAGTTCCCAGATTCCATTCTGGACTCAACCATATTCTGTTCCATAAACCGAAGTTAATCCAAATAGTGGAAGCATCACAGCTTATTGTCTCTGCCAAGAGATTCCTGCATTGTTGGTGAATGCTGGGCATTTCTCCTTTGTTATGCACCAATTTGCTGTTTTGGGACTCATTTCCATTTCTAGCCTGTTTTTTAGGCAAGCAGGAAGGATTCTCAGCAGACAGTTCAATAGGGCAAAAGGCTCCTGGAGGGTAGGAAGTTTGAAACCCAAGAGGAAAAACAACAACAATTGCTGTTCTGGGTCAGTTCTGTTCTAGCCAGATTGTGCTGATTAAATTATTTAAATAATAATAATATCCTAACCGTGTAAGGGGTGTGATAGGATGCAAAGGAAAGCAGAGCTCCTGTGTTGTTTAGTCGTTTAGTCGTGTCCGACTCTTCGTGACCCCATGGACCAGAACACGCCAGGCACTCCTGTCTTCCACTGCCTCCCGCAGTTTGGTCAGACTCATGCTGGTAGCTTCGAGAACACTGTCCAGCCATGTCGTCCTCTGTCTCCCCCTTCTCCTTGTGCCCTCCATCTTTCCCAACATCAGGGTCTTTTCCAGGGAGTCTTCTCTTCTCATGAGGTGGCCAAAGTATTGGAGCCTTAGCGTCAGGATCTGTCCTTCCAGTGAGCACTCAGGACTGATTTCCTCAACAATGGATAGGTTTGATCTTCTTGCAGTCCATGGGACTCTTAAGAGTCTCCTCCAGCACCATAATTCAAAAGCATCAATTCTTCGGCGATCAGCCTTCTTTATGGTCCAGCTCTCACTTCCATACATCACTACTGGGAAAACCATAGCTTTAACTATACGGACCTTTGTTGGCAAGGTGATGTCTCTGCTTTTTAAGATGCTGTCAAGTTTTTTCATTGCTTTTCTCCCAAGAAGCAGGCGTCTTTTAATTTCGTGGCTGCTGTCACCATCTGCAGTGATCATGGAGCCCAAGAAAGTAAAATCTCTCACTGCCTCCATTTCTTCCCCTTCTATTTGCCAGGAGGTGATGAGACCAGTGGTCATCACCAGCTCCTGTACCTTTTAACAATTGCGGAGAAGAGTGACTTTTTACCTCTGCAACTTTCTCTGCTCTCCCTGACAGGCTACAGCGGCTGCCATATCTACACAGATATAGCTGTGCTGTCTGTCAACCTTTGCATCTGGCCACTTGTGAGATCAGGGTTCAAATCCCCCACTCAGCCATGATGCTCGCTAGTTGCACCCTAGGCCAGTCACTCACTCTCAGCCCAACCCACCTCACACGGTTGTTGTGAGGATAAAACGAAGTAGGGGGTGAACGATGTACACCGGCTTGGAGGGAAAAGGTAAGATATAAATGCAAACAATCAGAGTTGCCATCTCTCCAGCATTGTGCTGTCCTAGTGAGTCGGGACAGACTTGACTGTGTCACCAGGAAGTTTGTTATTTTTTAAAAAATGCAAACTGGCCCAACAACTTATCGTCAGAACCGATTAACAGGTTCTATTATTTGTGGATTCAAGTGCACTTCATCAGATGCATGAGGAAGCTCATCTGATGCCTCCGTCTGAAATCCAAGGAGGCAAACACTAGCCGATGCAAACTTAAAGGTAAAGGGACCCCTGACCATTAGGTCCAGTCGCGGACGACTCGGGGGTTGCGGCGCTCATCTCACTTTATTGGCCGAGGGAGCCGGCGTACAGCTTCCGGGTCATGTGGCCAGCATGACTATGCCGCTTCTGGCGAACCAGAGTAGCACACGGAAACGCCGTTTACCTTCCCGCTGCAGCGGTACCTATTTATCTACTTGCACTTTGACGTGCTTTCGAACTGCTAGGTTGGCAGGAGCAGGGACTGAGCAACGGGAGCTCACCCTGTCGCGGGGATTCGAACCGCCGACCACCTGATCAGCAAGTCCTAGGCTCTGTGGTTTAACCCACAGCGCCACCCGCGTCCCTTAATGCAAACTTATTCCACAAGGGTAGTTGGCTACCTCTTCCACCTCTACGGAAGCTCTCGCTCAGTGTGCATGTCGTGGGGAAACACAACAGAGACCTATAATACGATGACTTCCAATGGCATGTGCAGCCATTGATGAAAAGTGCTCATCAGTGATGAACCGTCACACATGAACACCTGAGTTTGCATGTTTTCAGGGGTCTGGAAACCCAGCCTGATGAGGAATGGTTGAGGGAGTTGAGTACGTTTAGCCTGGAAAAGAGGAGATGTGATAGCCATCTTCAAATATCTCAGGGGCTGTCAGGTGGAGCATGCTTGTTTTCTCCTGCCCCAGAGGGTAGAACTCAAACCAATGGCGTCAAGTTACAAGAAAGGCGATTCAGACTAAACATCAGGAAGTACTTTTTGAGCGCTGTTCGACATTGACAGACACCTTGGCAGGTGGCCAACTCTCCTTCATTAGAGACTTTTAAGCAGAGGATGGATGGCCATCTGTCATGGATGCTCTAGTGGAGATTCCTGCATTGCAGGGGGTAATAATAATAATAATAATAATAATAATAATAATAATACTTTATTATTTATACCCCTCCCATCTGGCTGGGTTTCCCCAGGCACTCTGGGTGGCTGTCAACAGAATATTAAAATACAATAATCTATTAAACATTAAAAGCTTCCCTAAACAGGGCTGCCTTCAGATGTATGGTAGTTGTTTTTCTCTTTGACATCTGGTGGGAGGGCGTTCCACAGGGTGGGTGCCACTACCGAGAAGGCCCTCTGCCTGGTTCCCTGTAACCTGGCTTCTCGCAGTGAGGGAACTGCCAGAAGGCCCTCATCGCTGGACCTCAGGATCCAGGAAGAACAATGTGGGTTGGACTGGATGACCCTTGGCGTCCCTTCCGACTGTGATTCTGTGTTATTTCCTACATTGGACTTGAAGGCAAGTGGTGGTTTCTTTTGCCACCAGAGGTCTCTGCTGACCCCTGAGGAAGGGGCTGCCGCTTCTACAGCCGGCCTCCCCCCCCCCCCCCGTTGTGGGGCAGAGCTTTTAAAAAAGTATAGATGCCTCTGACCCCTATTGCGGACAGGCGTCCCGCTGCTGCTCTTTCTCCTAGGTTCCAGCTGGATTTCGTTCTTCTTTCTAAACAGAGGAAGATTTGCTCTCTTGGCCCCTTGCCTCCTGCGATGGGAGCCAGCAGAAGTTAAAGGTGCGGGAAAAGGACTCTCCTGTCGCCTGCAGTTCCCAGGTAAAACGAATCCGGGAGATACATGGCCGGGGTGGCTGCGAAAGAGAGGCGGGAGAGGGGGAATCTTCGGATCGGACCGCGGGCAGCCACGGGGTAGGGAGGTAGTAGCGAGCAGTGGTTATTGTTTTGTGGTTTTGGTTTTAACGATTCGTTTCTGCTCTGACCTGAAGCGCCCTGGGATCTTCCGAGGAAGGGCGGCTCACAAATCAAATCAATAAATGAAAAGCGGTTTTGCAAAGGACAAACCAAAGACTGCCCCAGCGGCTCAGCTGCCTTCCTCATTCTCCCAGGATGCTGCCAACTATTATGGGATAAGTCATTCATTGCACAAAATAATAATAATAATAATAGAGATAGCGGGGATTCCACTGATCCATCGTAGGAGAGGGGCTACCTAAAAACAGACCCCTTAATCTCCATCCCCAGTCCAATTGAGTTATCTTTCCTCCACGTGGGTTTTTGTTTGTTTGTTTTAAAGGATTTTGTTGCGTTCGCCTCTTGCCCTAGGTAAGCTTCAGCAGAGGCCTTGATTTCTAACGTGGGAACTCTTGTGGGGCTGCGCTGCGGCGTGGCTCTCCTCCGGCGGGACTTTGCACGTGCTCAGAGGCACTCCTGTGATAGTCCAAGCAGAGAACCTTAGTTCGAAATAATATTAAAAAAATTATTGCTTGTACTTGGTTGAGGTGTGAGAAGGAGAACTGTTCCACGGCGCTCCTTGTGAACGGTGTGGCTGAGGTTTGTTAGTTTTTAATTAAAAAACGAATTCCTATTTTTCTGCATGCGTTTTGCATGAAGTATACAAGCAAAATGCAGGTTCCTGCCTCAAGCAGATTAGGCGGCAGAGAGTGGGGGGTGGGACGGGGAAGAAGAGAGACAATAAAATAATAAAAAAGCGAGAGAACGTAACAGCGACTCGGTGCAGGTTAAGCGAATACTGTGCAGAATATTGCTAGGATGTTGCCCAATATTCAGCCAGCTTTTAGGCTCTCCAGAACTCCTAGTGGGCCTGATGTTAAGCAAAGGGGGTGCAGAAGCTCTAATGATGTTGTAACCACAAGACTAGGATCTAGCCATGAGCTTAACATGGAGTATACCAGGAGATAGTGATCGTAACTGGGTGAAGATTACTAGGTGTTCTGCGGGCTTCAGGTTGCACCTAGGAAAAGGGGGGGGGGAGTGATTGCTGGTCCCTTTTTGAAAATAAATCATCCAGCAGTTACCCAGTTTTCGTGTCCCACTTTCCCTTCAAGTAACTCAATGGCCAGATGTTGAGAGCCAGATTAGTGTCATGGTTCCAGTGCTAGACTAGGATCCTGGAGACCAGAGTTCAGATCCCACTCTGACTTTTGAGTTAGTCACTCACACATATGTTAGTCTACCTCACAGGGTTATTGTGATGATAAAATGGAGTGGGGCCGCTTTGAGTTTATTGGGGGAAGGATGGTATATAAATGCAATAAACTGACCTGGGATAGCTCAGTTGGTAAAGCAGGAGACTCTTAATCTCAGGGCTGTGGGTTCGTTGGGCAAAAGAGTCTTGCACTGCAGGGGGTTGGACTAGATGACCCTCGTGGTCCCTTGCAAATACACACTTCTAGGATATGAATGAAATAAATATCTGCCTGGCCACAGGTTCCTCATCCTTGAGTTAAGAAATTAGTGAGTGTCCCAAGGTCACATGCAGCGAGCTTCACTGTTGAAAGAAGGGGTTTGAAACTGGGTCTCCCCATTCCTCATTTGATGCTCTAACCACTACACCACACTGCTCCCCAACTAGGGCTGAAGTCCTATACCTTGTGGGTAAGTTCTGTTGAGCACCGTAGGACTTCTAGGCCATCTCTCAACTTTACACTCCCATCTTAAGACTGCAGCTGAATGTAGAGTTTGTGACATCCTCAGACTGACTGCAAAGCAATGTGGGGAAAAGAAAAGGCTGGATTGAGGTTAGGAGCAGGAGAAGGTGTCTTATGCCTGAGTCAAAGCATTTGCTCATGTAGCTCAGGGCTGCCTACACTGACTTGCAGCAGCATTGAACCCACATGCAAAACAGATGCTTTACCCAGGGCCGGATTTAGGTTTGGTGAGGCATGTCAAAGTGCAAGTAGATAAGTAGGTACCACTCCTATGGGAAGGTAAATGGCGTTTCCGTACACTGGTTTGGTTCGCCAGAAGCGGCTTAGTCATGCTGGCCACATGACCCGGAAAAACTGTCTGCGGACATACGTCGGCTCCTCGGCCTATAGAGCGAGATGAGCACGCAACCCCAGAGTCATCCGCAACTGGACCTAGTGGTCAGGGGTCCCTTTACCCTATATATAGAAATGAACAAACCAGTGATATTTTAGGGAGCAGGCTAGCAGGCGGGGCCCATTACTTACATCATAGGAGCCTACACAACACAAAACACTGTTGCTGTATGTAGGCTTTATTTTATTTGTTTTTCATCTTGTATTTTGGAAATGTACACCCAGTTTCCCCCCCCCTTAATTTTTTTTGGGGCCCCCAAGAGAGTGGGGCCATAAGCCATAGCTTGTTTAGCTTATACGTAAATCCGGCACTGGCTGTACCATATTCTGGAATTTTATGCTAACTTATTTTATGCTGTTCTGGCTGGTCCTACTTTTCTAGCTGTGGATTTTGGATTTCCCCTCCCTTTCCCCTTGTGAACCAACCAGCACATCTTATTTTGCTTTCTATTTATACACCTGGAAGGCTGTGGGATGGAGGTGGGATGGAGGCTAAGGGTTTCCAAAGGGATGCTTGAGGCAGGCTGGGAACTCCTTCTGAAGGAGAAAGATGGCCTCTCTGACAAAACTGCTCTCCTCCAGAGGCTTCAAATGTAGATTCGTTCCCTTGTCCCTTTCCCGGAAGTTAAAATATCCACTCTGTTCCTTATTAAGACCCTCAGCCCTGCTTCAAGACTACGCAAAGACTAGCTGCTTTTGAAGAGAATTGCCAAAGCAGAGTCCAATCAGGCAACTAACCATTGACAGACTGGGATGGGGATGTGAAATTCCTGCTAGGCCTGAGGCCTTTGGAAGATAAGGTGGTATGCTTCAGAATACTGGGCCCCATCTGCATGGTACATTTAAAACAGTAGCATACAGTGGTACCTCGGGTTACATACGCTTCAGGTTACACACTCCGCTAACCTAGAAATAGTGCTTCAGGTTAAGAACTTTGCTTCAGGATGAGAACAGAAATCGGGCTCCGACGGCGCAGTAGCAGCGGAAGGCCCCATTAGCTAAAGTGGTGCTTCAGGTTAAGAACAGTTTCAGGTTAAGTACGGACCTTCGGAACGAATTAAGTACTTAACCCGAGGTACCACTGTATATCACTTTAAACATTCTCCCAAAGAATTCTGGGAACTGTAGTTTTTTAAGGGTGCTGGAATTGGTTAGGGAACCGCTGTTCCTCTCCCAGAGCTAAAGTGGCTTAACAATCAAACCCTCATCTCAGAGAGCTCTGGGAATTGTAGCTTTGTGAAGGGAATATGTGGGTCTCTCTCTTGAGGATTCTCGGCACCCTTAGCAAACTATGGTTCCCAGGGGTTTTTTTGGGGGGGGGGAGGGGAGCCATGACTGTTCAGAGTGGTGTGACAGGGCTTTAAATCTGTGGTGGAGATGGAGTCCTTGTTGCTTGGAATTGCCCGTGGAACTTGAACAGCGCTGCACTCAGGTTGAAAGCATATCTCGAGGGCATCTCAGGCATGTAGTGCGAGCAAGTTCTATCTCTTAAGATCTAGATGAGGCATAGTTTCTTTATCATACACACACACTGCTCTGGGCCCCAAGACCCCTTTGTTCCTCCTGGCTATAGTTCAGGGGTCAACAACCTTTTTCAGCCATGGGCCAGTCCACCATCCCTCAGACCATGTGGGGGGCCGGACTATATTTTGAAAAAGAAAATGAACGAATCCCTATGCCCCACAAATAACCCAGAGATGCATTTTAAATAAAAGAACACGTTCTACTCATGTAAAAACACCAGGCAGGCCCCACAAATAACCCAGAGATGCATTTTAAATAAAAGCACACATTCTACTCATGTAAAAACACGCTGATTCCCAGACCGTCCGTGGGCCGGATTGAGAAGGCGATTGGGCCGCATCCGGCCTCCGGGCCTTAGTTTGCCTACTCCTGCTATAGTTCATTCTGGAATCCCTCTTGCATTGCATGGCACTCTTTTTGTTTTTTTTAATGTATTTTTATTAAATATTTTCTTGATTTACAAAGGTATGTGCAATGTCTCTCTCGTAGTTTTTTTCCTACGTAACACATTTTATTTTATTTTTTACAAATTGGTTTCATTTGTTGAGACATTAGGAAGAATAGGGGGAAAGAGGTGGAGGGGGGCGGGAAAGATGAATGGGGGTGGGGTCAGGTGGTGATGTTTCTATTTTACTTAATATATGTGGGGTTTTGCGTCAGTGTCGCTTGTGCGGGTTCTCTGCTGTTCACTTGTGTTCCTTTGGTGATGGGAGAGGTTGGGGTTGGCCTAGGGCAGCGTTTCCCAAACTTGGGTCTCCAGCTGGTTTTGGACTACAGTTCCCATCGTTCTTGACCACTGGTTCTGCTCGCTAGGGATGATGGGAGTTGTAGTCCAAAAGCAGCTGGAGACCCAAGTTTGGGAAACCCTGGCCTAGGGTGCATGGCACTCTTGAACCTACTTAAGGCTATCATTGGCTACTGCAGCTATTTGCTGTCGCCACTGTCCGAAGTATGACTCTGAATGTCAGTTTCTGGAAACTACAAGTGGAGAGTGCAGCTTTCGCACTCAGGTCCTGCTCATGGGCTTCCCAGAGGCATGTGTTGCTGGCCACTGTGAGAGCAAGATACAGTGGTACCTCAGGTTACAGACGCTTAAGGTTACAGACTCTGCTAACCCAGAAATAGTACCTCGAGTTAAGAACTTTGCTTCAGGATGAGAACAGAAATCGGGCTCCGGCGGCACGGTGGCAGCAGGAGGCCCCATTAGCTAAAGTGGTGCTTCAGGTTAAGAACAGTTTCAGGTTAAGAACAGACCTCTGGAACGAATTAAGTACTTAACCCGAGGTACCACTGTACTGGGCCTTCATCCTGACCCAGCAGGGCTCTTCTTGCATTATTTGAGAGTGAAGCAGGAGAGGGTTTTCTGTTTGTTTCAGACCCAGCAGGATCTCCTGGATGCTGACCAGGGAAGCTTCTACAGAAAAGCCATGCAGGAGAGCTCCGGCACCATCTTTATGGGTGAGATTATTTCCCCCTGTTCTTTCCAGTTATAAGGTGGGGTTTTGGGGGGGTTGTTTTTAAGTATTGCAGACTTAAACGGAGCGGGAGTTTGTTTAATTGTTGTGTAAAAGTTTCCTATGAAAGCCATGGAGGTTGCATGTGAGAGAGGCAGAACTAAGGACTCGCTGGGCACTTCTGCGTCAGGGATGTACAGGCAAGCCCATGCATGTTTACTTGGAAGTAAGTCCCCTTGTGTTCAATGGGACTTACTACAAAAGTAGCTGTGCAAAGGACTGCAGCCTTAAACTGGCTAATAATAGTTATTATTTCATATTTGGGAGTGGAATGTATTATGTATGGGTTGGGAAACCCTTCAAAGGAGATGAGGGGGAAATGTCTCTTCAAATATTTCAATTGTTTTATTAATGTAAGCTGCCTTGATAGTTTTTTTATATTAGAAGGCAACATATACATTTCTCCATAGCTGTCAAGTGTCCCTTATTTGAAGGGACAGTCCCTTATTCCAGCGCCATGTCCCGCTGCTGTCCCTTATTGATGGATGTCCCTTAAATGTCCCTTAAATTTCAAAGGAAGCAGCTCCTCTCCCTCCCTGCCTGCCGGCCAGGGAGGAGGGAGGCTCCAACTGTGTTGCTTGGCTGTGTTGCTCACCCAATAAGAAGTCTAAGAATGACTGGGGGGTGGAGCTTGCATGCCTTGTGTGTGGCTAGTTAATGCAAGCTGAGGAGGTTTTTGAATGCTGGACGCCATTTTGTTGCACTTGCTGCTGCAAACTTTGCAGTGCAAAGCCAGGCTGGGGAGCCATCTTAAGTTGAGGCTGCATAGGCCTCGTGGTGCATGTGATTCAGATTCTATTCAGTTGAACCTCTGGTTACAAAGTTGGTTGGACAGTGTTCTTGAAGCTACCAGCATGAGTTTGACCAGACTGCAGGAGGACAGGAAGACTGGAGTGCCTGGAACAGGTGAGGCTGCAGGTCCCTTATTTTCAAGGCTGCTGGTCCCTTATTTTCAAATCTGTAAGTTGACAGCTATGCATTTCTCCAATCCTAGTTTTTCTAAAAATTAACTAAAAGAATGAGATCTGCCTAGTTAATCAGGGCTACCTTTTTAATCCATTCAAATATTTCTAACCTTTTAAATCCAGTCAATCGACTATAGGAAAACTAGTCGCATGTGCAGTGCATCCCTTTCATATTTACTCAGAGGCAATGCCCTCCTCTGTGTTCAGTAAGGCTTATTACATAAGGAGTGCAGCCTTAGATGAATGATCTATTTAAACATTTCCACATAACAATACAATACTCCAAAAGGGGGAGAAACAGGCTTTGTTATTTAGATTATAAATTCAATGCATGTGTCTTAACAAGCATGACCTAAAAAGAGGCGTTGCCCCTTCCCTCTTTTCACAGGATGGGATGCTTCCAATTAGATGGTGCTTGTCACCTGTAGTTTTCAGAAGTTTTCTGTTTTTAAAACTTTACTGCAGAGTGATTGCTTGAACAGCAACTTCCCCCCAGAGAACTCTTGCTGGCTGGGGAGTCCGCTTCCAGGCTTTCTTTTTCACTTTCTTGAAAAAGCAAGCGGGGAAATGAATCCACAACACATTTGCCTCTCTCTCTCTCTCTCTCTCTCTCTCTCTCTCCTCTTCCTCTCCAAGCCTCTGGACTGTTTGCCTACCTGGAACAAGGGCAGAGCACTTGGGCCCCAGATTTCCAGAGCTACCGATGTGATGCAAATGAAGAGATGATTAAAGAATTGCCGGAACAATTGCCAGAGGCAGCAGCTTGGTGCAATTCCTACCGGTGTCCTGTGAGCATCCATAGTTCAGATCTATCTGGTCCAGGTAAGGATTGTACTTGGCATCTTCAAGCTTAAGCCTAAAATCACCTTCCGAGCCCCAAATCAGAGGTGGCTAAGTTATCATGTTCCAGATGTCTACAGCTCCCATCAGCCTCGGCCAGCGTGTCAGTGTTGGAATTTGTAGCCCAACAGCCTCTGAAGGGCATCAGGAACTCCTCAAGAAGGACATGGAGGCCACAGACCCTTCCCCCAGCTGCAGAAACTGGTATTCTGAATACCACAACACACATGTAACTGGCTGTAAAGTAACATAACATATATAATAAAACTGTAGTCGTCATATCAAAAAATTGCAAAGCACAGTTCCTGGTGGCAATAACATATTATATTACAGTGGTACCTCTGGTTACAGACGCTTCAGGTTATAGACTCCGCTAACCCAGAAATAGTACCTCAGGTTAAGAACTTTGCTTCAGGATGAGAACAGAAATTGTGCAGCAGAGGCGCGGTGGCAGCAGCGGGAGGCCCCATTAGCTAAAGTGGTGCTTCAGGTTAATAACAGTTTCAGGTTAAGAATGGAGCTCTGGAACGAATTAAGTACTTAACCCGAGGTACCACTGTACTATTAACCTTCTATATGTTTTTATTGTCGTAAAATCCAAGGATAGTCAAGTCCAAACATTGTCAAGTCCAATGATTACAATGTACAGTTCCTGTTGGCAATGCCATTTCATACTGATAGGTAAAGGTAAAGGTGCCCCTGCCCGTACGGGCCAGTCGTGACCGACTCTGGGGTTGCTCACTCATCTCGCTTAAGAGGCCGGGGGCCAGCGCTGTCCGAAGACACTTCTGGGTCACGTGGCCAGCGTGACGAAGCTGCTCTGGCAAGCCGGCACCAGCGCAGCACACGGAAATGCCGTTTACCTTCCCGCTATAAAGTGGTACCTATTTATCTACTTGCACTTAAGGGTGCTTTCGAACTGCTAGGTGGGCAGGAGCTGGGACCGAACGATGGGAGCTCACCCCGCCGCGGGGATTCGAACCGCCGACCATACGATCAGCAAGTCCTAGGCGCTGAGGTTTTACCCACAGCGCCACCCGCGTCCCTATTTCATACTGATATCTTCAGGCAATTAGAATTAAATATTCTTAAAGAGACCTAATCGCAATGATACCCAACCGATGGAAATCTAATATGTTAAGTATTCCATATCTTCATTTATATACACTATTACAACTTTATCAAACTTATTCAGTGAGGCTTAATCACCAAAGGATCCCATCTAGCAAATGGTCATTGCGGTCTCCACTTCCTAATGTTGATCATAAAAGTATAAATTAATCTTAGGAGATTGTAACATCATTAATTACCTAAACACCTGTGTGTTACAAGAAAGGATACCTTCTTTGCAGTAATTCAGACAACACAGGGATCCAGCTCTGTGGGCCTTCTGGCAGTTCCCTCACTGCGAGGTTACAGGGAACCAGGCAGAGGGCCTTCCTAGTAGTGGCGCCCTCCCTGTGGAACACCCTCGCACCAGATGTCAAGGAAATAAGCAATTGAGCTTTAGAAGACTTCTGAAGGCAGCCCTGTATAGGGAAGTTTTTAATGTTAGATGTTTTATTGTGCTTAATGTCTATAATTTGTTGGAAGCCACCCAGAGTGGCTGGGGCAACCCAGTCAGATGGCCTGAATAATAATAATAATAATAATAATAATAATAATAATAATAATAATAATTTATTATTTCCCCACCTCCCCCCTGCAACACACATTTTATTTTCATTTCATTTTTCATAGGGAGGATGTTCCAGCCTCCTTTTGGTAGCCTCTCCCAAGCCTTCTCAGGGATTTTTCTTTTCCTTTCCTTTGCAGATGATGACCCAATGAGCGAGGAAGAAGATGAAAACGTGAAGAGGGAAGAAGGTCCCAGAGTCACAAAACCACGGGCATCTCTGTTGGGGAAACCCAATGCTGGTTCCATGGGGGAAGAAAACCGGGAGAGTGGGAACAATCACTTGCAGGGACAGACGGCCAGTAACAATCCTGCCAACGAAAAAGATGGAGGCCTTGTTGGGAACGGAAACATCCAGCAAAGCATAGATGCAGAAGGGAGCCAGAACGTATGCTTCAAGTGTGGGAAAAAATATGGCAGGAAGTCAACTCTCAAGAGACACCTAAAACTCCACAGCAGTACGAGACCCTATATATGTCCCACCTGTGGCAAAGGTTTCACTGAGAAATGTCCGCTCATTGCCCACACACAAACACATACGAAAAAGCGTCGTTTGAGAAGGGAACCCTACGAATGCCCTGAGTGTGGAGAGGACTTCTTTACGAAAGCCTCTTTCAACGAGCATCGGGCGAGCCACACCAGTGAGCCAACCTATTCGTGCCCTGACTGTGGGAAAAGCTACGAGGCAGAGAGTCGCCTTGTTCGCCATGTGGCGAAGGCCCACTCGGGTGCGACTCTCTTTGAATGCCCCGGTTGTGGGAAAGGCTTTACGAAAGAGAAAGATCTCGCTCAGCATCGAGTGACGATCCACACCGAAGGAAGCCGCTACTGGTGCCATGACCATGGGACAAGCGTCGGAGAGGAATCTCCTCTAATCAAACGGGGAGAGTTCCCCAAAATGGAGCATCCTTGCAGATGCTCAGAATGCAAGGAAGGTTTGGGTGACGATGCCGGTCATTGGAGAACGCACGAAAAGGGGAACCCTCAAAAATACCTTCCCCGTGAAATGCACTTTGGAAAGAGGACGCCCCACCCCACAAATAGGGAAAGTGATGCAGAAGAGTATAGCCACGAATGCCCCATGTGTGGGCGATGTTTCAAGAATGGGGTATGCTTTGCTAATCACTGGAGGGTGCATGCAAGAGAGCAGCAGCGCGGACAGGCAGGTGCATTCAGGGAAGAAACCCGACTCACTAGAAATCAGAAAACCCAAGCGGATTTTGAATCCGAGGCGTGCTTTGACTGCGGAAAGCCCCTCTGCGCCGACTCGATGCTGCCTGCGCAGCCCAAAATTGAAATGGAAGATAATCTCTATAAATGCCCCGACTCTGAGGAAATCTTCAGAGACAGCCGACATTTTGCTAACCATCAGAGAGGAGGACATTGGGAAGACCTTGAGGCAAGAGCGCTGGCGGCTGACCAGCTGGAAACCCCCCGGAAGAAAGGATCCTATAGTTGCTCACGTTGCGAGAGAGTCTACACAACCCACTACAACCTCAGGAGACATCAGAGAATCCACTCGGAATGCAGACCCGCCAAACGTCCCAGCTGTGGGGAAGGTTTTTCCTGCGCGTGGTCCTTCCCTGACAATCGGAAAGCCTGTGTCAAAGGAGAAAATGGCCTACACAAATGCTCTTGCTGTGCGAAAGGGTTTGGCGCTAAAAGTGTGCTCCCTGGATGCTTGCCACCCACTGTAAAAGCCAAGCCTTACAAATGTTCCATTTGTGGGAAAGCCTTTGCGTACAGATACACTCTCGCTCAACATCAGGAAACCCACGAGGATGAGCAACCCAGTCTGCATATATGCTCATTTTGCAGCCAAGCATTCCGTACCTGGAGCTGCCTCAATAGACATCAGCAGCTGCACATGGGGGAGAAGCGCTACCAATGCGCCGTTTGCGGGAAAGCCTTTGCCTACAGAGACGCCCTCGCTCGCCATCGGGAGATACACACGCAAGGGCCGCTCCACAAGTGCACTTTCTGCCCGAAAACCTTCTCAACCAGTAATTCTCTCAGTAGACACAGGCTCATCCACTTGAAAACAAGGTCCTACCAGTGCTCTATCTGCCAGACAGCCTTTGGGACAAAATATTCCCTCCATAGGCACGAGGACATGCATGCCAATGGAAGTCCAGGCAAACTGACCAGTGGCGGGGAAGGTCCTGGCGTAGCTGAAGAGGAAGCTAGCACGACAGAAGAAAATTCCAATGGCTCGCCTGATGGTTCAATGATCTCTGGGCATGAGGACATCTACAAGGAGAAGGAGAGCTCTGAGAGTGTGGGCGGTATTGCCTGGGACAGCCACTTGGAGGAAAATTTTGCCAAAGGGTTAGAAGAACATAAGAACACATTTGGAGATGGCTCAGTGCTTCCCGAATACCGAGCTAGACATGCCGACGAAAGTGTCAACCCAGGGTGTGAAAATTCAATAAACTCTAAGCACCAGGGAGTCCACGCTGAAGGAAATTCACCTGATTGCTCTGGGCCGATGGGCAACTCAGACCTTACTGGACAAGAAGAACCTGTTACTGGTGACCAAACTGTTTCCAGGGATGGCTCCATGCTTGCTCACAATACAGAAGGACATTTCAGCCTATGGACCAACAATTCGGCCTACTCTGGACTGATTCAGGGAGCCCCAATAGGAGATAACCCTCCCGAGAGTTCTGGGAGTGTGAGGACCTCTGTGTACGGCTCATTGCCGGCTGAAGAGCAGAGCACCCACTTAGAGGAACACCCTGTTAATGGGTTAGATGGTCAGGATCCCGTTAGGGTCAATTCAACTCACTTGAGTCATGAGGGAGTTGTCACGGGCAAAGAAAGACATACATGCCTTAACTGCGGGAAATCCTACGAGGAGAAATATTCCCTCACTAGACATCAGGTAACCGATACCTCGGCGAGACCTTATCAATGTCAAACCTGTGAAGAGAGCTTCCAGGACCCCAAAATGCTAGCAAGGCACCAGCTCACGCATACAGATTTCAAGCCTAATCAGTGCCGTGAATGTGGGAAATGCTTCAGAACAAGGTCCTGCATTGAGAGGCATCTGAAGACGCATAGAGAGAGGCCCTACTGCTGTGTTTATTGTGGCAAGAGGGTCACAACAGGCCCAAATCTTCGGTATCACCTCAGGCTTCACACAGGAGAGAGGCCGTATAAGTGTACAGAGTGCGACAAAGATTACCCGAACCCGTGGTCCCTTAAAAAGCATTTGAAGACCCATTTGAAAACAAGCTCCTCCTAGAGCTAGACCAGCTAGATCAGGTTTCTCAACACAGGGTTGCCATATTTCCAAAAAGTAAAATTCCTGACGCCTGCAAAGTTGCTCAGCTTTTTTTTTTTAGGAAGGTCCCAAAATTGTTGAGCTTCTTTGGGGGACCCCTCCCCCCACAAAATAGTGATTTTAAGCTTTTGGAACTGTTTCCGCTGCTTTTTCCATCGCGTTGCCACACATCCGTGTTTTCCCTGACATTTTGCCGATTTGGCAATATCCCCCCCGACGCCATTTTGGCACCCAAAAACCAGGACGTATCAGTGATTTTCCTGATGTGTGGCAAGCCTACTTAATATGTTTTCCCAAGACGTAATGAAATGGGACGATCCTTAATATGGTCTGCTGCTATGGGTCTGTTTTACCTAAGATCGTTGGTGCTGAAACATGCCTGTGTCTTCAGGTAACCCAGAATCTCTATACTGTGTAATGAATGGTCATATTCTATCTCCTAATCAACTTTGCTTTGTGCAGTTTCAAAGTACCTCTGCTCAGGGAATGAACCTTTCGTGCCGCTGGTGATACATAGATATTTTGGTTGTTTTGAATTACTGGACCTGACTGGAGAAACACGGGTACTGCTTGACGGAGGAAGGAAGTGGTAACCAAGAGGCCAGTCTACTCTCTCAAAAGAAGAGGTGTGGGGAGAAACAACTGTGTAGTTATTAATTTTAAAACATCCACTCCCTAGTCAGAAAACAAGAGCTGCAGAATATTGTTCAGTTGGGCATGGCTTAGTTTGATGTTGAACTGGTCTGAATTCTAACCCTGGTCTGAGACAGTGTAGCACAATGGTTAGAGCAGGGTTCCCCAAACTTGGGTCTCCAGCTGGTTTTGGACTACAATTCCCATCGTTTAGAATGATACCACATAGGGAAATGTTCCCTGATACCAAGATGAGGGATTCTATGGAATGCAGACAGAGAGAATTGATAAGAATAATAATCTGTTGCGACCTTGACGGAAGCGTACAATAGACGAGCTTTCTCGTGTTTTGGCTCGTTTCTCTCTCTCTTTTTTTCTTTTCTTTCTTTTCTCCTTCTTTCTTTTTTCTTTCCCATAATGGCTCATGTTTTATGCCATGTATTTTGATATTTTTTGCAGTTTTGTATCCCTTTCTATCATTATTATTAAGGATTTCTCTTTTGTAATTTTGGTTGCTTAAATTTACCTGTATTTGTTTAAAGCAAAATAAATAAAAAAATCATTAAAAAAAATCCCCATCGTCCCTAACCACAGGTCCTGCTAGCTAGGGATGATGGGAGTTGTAGTCCCAAAACATCTGGAGACCCAAGTTTGGGCAGACCTGACGGACCAGGGTTCAAGTCCCCATTTGGCCACTGGGTGACCCTCAGCCAGCCGTTGCTTCTCAGTCTAACCTTCCTCACAGAGTTATTGTGGGGATTAACAGAGGAGCAAGGGAACCATGTATGTCACCTTGGGGGGGGGGAGTGGTATATAAATGCAATAAATGAATAAAAGTAATAATTCAAAGCCCCTCTTTCATCTTCTGGAATATGAAGGTTTTTACTAGGATATTTTTTAAGGGGAGAGGCATAGCAACTGAACTGTTTGGTAATTTATGAACCTTGTGAAAAGACAAAATATTCCGAGTATTCTTAGGCACACTGGATTTTGAATGTCTTGTATTCTGATGCACACTGCATGTTACACACACTCACCATAGAAATCAAAGATTAATCACCACCTTGTCATGCTACTGTTGCTGTTGTTTTGGTGGTCTTTCCTTTCTCCATCAGATATATCTCAGGTTATTGTCTTAGCATGGGACTGGCAGTGAAAATATATGTGTGCAGACATCTTCCATAGCAAGATGTGCTATTCAAAAGGACTCAGGGAAGTTCTTTGTACATCTCTCTCCCTGCTCCTGGTTGTACCGTAAGGTGTGAACTCAGAAAAACTGGGAAAACACCAGTGGTGGCAAGAGGATTAAGTACTGAAATATGGTACAAAATTAAAACCTACAGATTTCTACAATTTACAGTGACTGGAAAACCCAAGATCGTTCAGGATAATTGCCCTACGAAGTCCATCTTTTGCAGGAATCCCAATTTACTATTGTTTTTCACCTGGATATATATATATATATTGTGTGTGTGTGTGTTTTATAGGAGCAGCTGCTACTTACTTATCACAGACACTCCTCTGGAGCCTAAAACTTTGAGGATGAATTATTTACACTGTTTTTTTTCTTCATAAAAGCTTTTTTTTACTGGTATCTGTTTTCTGGATTTTATTTCGGGGTGGGTGGGGTCAAAAGACATGGCTGCTGGATGGCAGAAGAAGGAAATTATCTCGAGGGTAGGAAAGTGATTTGTCTGCCTTGTCAAAGACTGGGAGGGGAAAACAACAACAACAACAACAGGTTTCCCCAGCCACTCTGGGCGGCTTCCAACAAAGATTAAAAATACATTAAAACATCAGTCATTAAAAACTTCCCTAAACAGGGCTGCCTTCAGATGTCTTCTAAACGTCTGATAGTTGTGTATCTCTTTCACATCTGACAGGAGGGCGTTCCACAGGGCGGGCACCACTACCGAGAAGGCCCTCTGCCTGGTTCCCTGTAACCTCACTTTTCGCAGTGAGGGAACCGCCAGAAGGCCCTCGGAGCTGGACCTCAGTGTCCGGGCAGAAAGATGGGGGTGGAGAGGCCGTTTAGGGCTTTAAAGGTCAGCACCAACACTTTGAATTGTGTTCAGAAACGTACTGGGAGCCAGTGTAGGTCTTTCAATACCGGTGTTATGTGGTTCAGCAGCCGCTCCCAGTCACCAGTCTAGCTGCCACATTCTGGATTAGTTGTAGTTTCCAGGTCATCTTAGTCCCACGTAGAGCACATTGCTAGTCCAAGTGGGAGATAACTAGAGCATGCACTACTCTACTCTGGCAAGACAGTCCATGGGCAGGTAGGGTCTCAGCTTGTGTACCAGATGGAGCTGGTAGACAGCTGTCCTGGATGCAGAATTGACCTGCGCCTCCATGGACAGCTGTGAGTCCAAAATGACTCCTAGGCTGCACACCTGGTTCTTCAGGGGCGCAGTTACCCCATTCAGGACCAGGGAGTCCTCCACACCAGCCTGCCCCGTGTCCCCCGAAAATAGTACTTCTGTCTTGTCAGGATTCAACCTCAATCCGTTAGCCGCCATCCATCCTCCAACCATCCTTCATATCATTCCTCATTTGTCTGTGACTTGTGTGTTTTGGTATGGAGGAACTCGCGGTTCTGTGAATAAAGTGGTTTAACCTAGAACCAGGTTTCCCATCTCACTTGCATTTTGGGAGCCAGGGAGGGTGCCAAATGTCTCAGATCAGCCACCCGCTTCCATCACTGGTTGCCCAACAAGCATTTTCAAAGCTCGGAGGCTGGTTGGATTTCTTCTCCATGTTTTGTGTCCTGGTTCTGTCTTCTGCAGAAACTTGTGAGTGCCCTCAGGATGGCTACTTTGTGAGGGCAGAAGTGAGCCAGGGCCTCACAAGTAGCACCTGGCTTTCCTCACAAATTTCCAATAATACTTCTCCCGCCCCAATCCTGCTTCCTCCCAATTCCTCTGTGGGAGGTTGTGCACCTAGCAGCATGACAGGATGCTAGAGCCATGAAGGTAATTTTCTCTCTACGTATGTAAGCTTCAACGTACGCATTTGGGTATTCAGTCAAAAGTAGGCCATAGTCAGTCTTCCTAAATTGCCACAGCTGCCATATTTCCTGGTAGGGCTTTAAAGAAGTGAACAGAAGATGGAATGAGCTGCTACCCAGTAGAAGCTTCTAGAACCCTGTCACCAAGCCCACACACTGTCTATGTTTATTTTTGTTCATTTCAAAAAGTGGAAGTTGTATTGAACAACAGCTATTTATTTTTTCACATACACAACTGTTTACAATGATCACCTTCCTTAAAAATAAATTTAAGACCTTGTGTGAAAAGAACCTTCTTACAAATGAGTTTATCCATAAAAGTCAAGCGCAACATAAAATTTAACATACTAAAGTCCTGAGCCAAAGGGTGGCATTTTAAGGCAAATATATCACTGCATAAACTGGCCTGTGGGGATTTGAACCCGGGTTTTTCAGCATTCGCTTTCCACATTTCAGAGACCCCTTGGCCCAGTGGATCTCTACTTCCTAGCTGGAGTGGGTTGAATGCAAAGGCAGCTGTGCTGACCCATAAAGAAAATGTCATAATCCTCACAAAATTCTGTGCAAGCCTTCAGGTTCTCCAGAACGCTTTCATCAAGCTAAATGGTGAATAAAGAGGAAGAGTTCTGGGTAACTCAAAAGCTTCCACACTATAAAGCCAGAATTATGTATAGTCAAAACCCATTGGGTGCAATGGCTGATGGCATTGTCAAAGAGATTTTCTCCAGACACCAGCCCTCTTTTGAATTAAAACATATTTTTGGCCAAGTGCATAAAGATGAATGTGCACAAGTTAAAACAGCATTCCGTTGCCCTAATGGGGATTTTGGAACTTCATCTCTCCAGGTGGTTGTGGTGGTTATCTCTTAGTGAACCAGCAGGTTATCTCCTGTAAACCAGCAGGCAGATTTACTAAGATTTGAACAGCTTTACTAAGGAGTTTATTCCATCAGCTTGGGCTGGTGGCCCAGGGATAATGTAACTACTGCTGTCTATGCTTTGGTAACCTCTAAGTGAGATTACTGCAATGTGTTCTACATAGGATTACCTCTGAAGATGGTTCAGAAACTCCAGTTGGTGCAGAATTTGGCCAAGTTGCTCACAGGGACCAGAGTCTTCCAAGTGGCCCTATTTCCCAGGGACAGTCCCGGATTTAAAGAAATAGTCCCAGTTTCTGACTTGACCCCAAAATGTCCAACTTTTCCTTAGGACATCCCTATTTTCACTGGAGAAATGTTGGAGAGTATGGAGTTTTCTGACCTCCCAAGCCACCTGAAGGCAGCCCTGTATAGGGAAGTTTTTAAATGCTTTGTTATGTTTTTATATATGTTGGAAGCTGCCCAGAGTGGCTGGGGCAACCCAATCAGGGGGAGGGGGATAATAAAAATAGAATAGGACATCCCTATTTTCATTGAAGAAATGATGGAGGGTATGCAAGCATGATATATTCAGCAATGAATGAAGCACCCTATATGGAAAGCCTTTCTTCAGGAGCAGACTCTATACTGTATTTCTGGCTTTGTTCTTTTTATGGGGTGCTTTGCTGCTGCAGGATAATAATTGACACCTCTATTTCCACGTTGGAGGGTATGCAGGGCAAGACTGTTTCAGCACATTGCACCGATCCTGACCCGACTGCACTGGCTGCCAATTAGTTTCTGGGCCCAATTCAAAGTGCTGCTTTTGTCCTATAAATAAAGCCTTGAACAGCTCAGGACAGCAATACCTCAACAACCACCTCTCTCCATATAAACCTATTCAGACTCTGAGATCATCCTCTGAGGCCCTTCTTTGTGTGCCTTCATGAGAGGTCCAGAAGGTCCATGGGTGTAGGGAGGGAGAAGCTGCCCCCCCAAATCAAGTAAATAAATAAAAACAACTAACTCATCAATTGAGTCATAGAACGCTTGGTTCTGCCTCACCCATGAGTGGAATGCTCTCCCCAGTGGGATTTGTCCGGTGTCTTCAATATATACCTTTAGGTGCCAGAAACCAC